GGTCCAGTGCCGAGTGGGAGTCTCCTCGATGGACCGAAGTCTCTGGGGGTGGTCACCTCTGTTACAGAAATGCCCAGCTGAGCCTGGCAGGCACAGAGGAGAATGATTCCCTCCTCAGACCCCAAACATTCTTGCAGCGCTTACTCTCATCAGCCCAGGCTAGAACGAACGATGGTCACAAACTCTGTCATACGGACCTTACTCTACAATAAATATGACTGTTATTTGGTTCCCAGAGCCACATCCTGGGCCTCAGGGTCCCTTCTACTTTGTCAACTTCAGCAACTGTTTAAGGAATTGCCTCTTCTCTCTTCTCTAAACATAGCCCAGAGTGGTTTTCATGACAGCCTGCCCATTCCTAGGCAATAGAAGGTTCCAAGCGCAATAAACAAACCCGTTACATAATGGGATGCCAGGCAGGGATAAGTGCTTTGAAGAAAGAACAGAACACGACGAGAGAAGGGACTGACTGGAGACAGGAGGGCACTTGTGCTGTGCACGATCCAGGATGAGCTCCTGGGGACGAGCTTCGGGAAGAGTGGAGAGTCCGCAGGGATGTGTGCAGAGGCATCATGGTCAAAGCAGAGTGGGTGAGGGGAGGGCCATGGCGAGTTCTGAGACAGCCGCAGGGCCTGGTGGGACCCCATTAGGACCCCAGACTTTCCTCTGGTGATGCGGGGAGCTACCAGGGGAGTCCTAGCAGATGGATGACATGATTCTCTTATGTAATTTTCATTTTTTTCACATTATAAGATATTCACATTTTTTTTTTAATTGAGTGGCTCTATAGCCCAGGTGGGTTTCACAAACTCTTCAGTCTTCCGAGCTCTAGGAGTTTTAGGTGTGTGCCACCATATCCTGCTATCTTAATCATTTTTAAGTATACAGTTACGCACTGTTAAATATTTGTTATGATTTACACTCATCACTCCTAGCCACCTCCATAACTTTCCACCTCCCAAGTTGGGGACCTCTGTACCCATTGAATATCCCTTCCTCCTTCCCTCTCCAAGTCCCCAGGAACGGAGAACACCCTCATATGCTGAGGCGAGCAGGAGCAGACATTCCCTCTGGGACTCTGTGGCATGGAATGAAGACAACAGTGATGTGTAATATGCCATCACAAGGGACGAAGAGCCCTGTGTGGGGAGAAGTGGGCCAGAGAGAAATCCAGAAGCCAGGACAGCTCTAAGATCTTAGCCAGAATAACCCAGCAATACTAACACAGGAGGCAAAGAAGGCTGGGAAGGGGATGCCTGGGGCCTGTTGCATCTGGTCACACCGTGTTGGAGACATGACTGGCTGGATAAGGAAGTTAGGCTGGGGCCCTTTAACCCCAGGGTCAGTTAGGATGATGTTTAGGCAAGGCACTGGCCAAGGCTTGGAAGGGAGCAAACACAGGTGAGGACAAAGCCTGGAGGTCGAGCCAACACAAGGAGCGGAGAAGAATCTGCAAGGCAACAATAGAGGGTTCTACAGTGAGGACCTGAAGAACCAGGAGAGGTTCAGGGAGGGAGGAGGGAGCCTCGGGGCTGTGACGGAACTATGACAGAGAACCACGAAACACCAGCCGACCAGAGGTCATACTATCAGCAAAGGAAGAGGGGGAGGGGAAGGAGCTGGTGTAGATGGAAAGACTTGAAAGACTTAACCAAATGCAAAGCATGGACCAGATGCAAAAAGATGATTCTGAGATATTAGGGGAGCTGGAATCCAGAGAGTGATGAAGTGATGCTGTGGAATCCATGAGCTTAAGGACACAGTGATGCTGTGGAACCCATGAACTCAAGGATGCAGTGATGCTGTGGAATCTATGAGCTAAAGGACACAGTGATGCTGTGGTACCCATGAGCTCAAGTATGAAGAGGGTATCTAGAAACACACACACACAAGGAAGTCCAGCAGGCAAAGAACATGGAGCCTTGCCTAGAAACTCTTTAGCAGCTGGTGGTGCACGCCTTTGATCCCAGCGCTCAGGAGGTAGAGGCAGGCAGATCTCTGAGAGTTTGAGGCCAGCATGGTCTACAGAGTGAGTTCCAGGACATCCAGGACTGTAATATTGAGAAAACCAAACCAAAACAAAACTCTTAGCAAAGAGAGAGCAGGGACGGGTCAACCTTGACATGATGCCAGATGAGGTGTACATGTGGACTCGGTACTCTCTTAGCTTTTGCTGCTGGTAGCTCTTTTCTATAAGGTTAAACATTAAAGAGGGATCAACTCTAAGTGCTGCTGAGCAGAACAGCCAGCGAAGGACTAAGACATGGCTCCTGAATTGGGCAAAACAGAAGTCCTTGGTGGCGCCAATCAAAGCAAGGAGTAGAGACAAAACCTGACTGTGATAGGCTCCCATTCTCTTATAAAGTTTGGAAAGGCTACTCTCTTGAAGAATTTTGCTAACCAAAGAACTCAAGGGTGGTAGCTGAAGGAGGGGGAGGCATAGTCCGTTCACAGATATAAACGCAGGGAATGGTAGTACAGTTGAGATCAAGCACCGTGGATGATGGCTCAAGACACAGGTCAGAGAAGTGCTTTTCTATCAGCTTAGTGACTACACCTGAATCTACTGATGTTTTAACTACCACCTGTGCTCCCTGGCTCCGCAGCCAGTGCCCCGACACCCAGACCAAAGCTTGGCAGGGTTTCTAGTCTCACTGGCACCAGCTCGGCCATGGCCACCAAATGTAGGTTTCTATTCATCAATAAAGACTTGGGAATCAGATGCTGGGGTGAAAACCTGCCAGCTCAGAGGGGTCAAGAAGTAACCAGCTGGCGCTTCTCTGCCTGGAGACACAACAGGAGGAACACCTCTCCACTCATCCCAAAGCAAAAAGACCTTGAATCTCTCTCCCTACTCCTTCCTGTGCATCTCCCTATCCATATTCCTGGCTCCTCTGTCCTCTCCATGGCTAATTCCTGTCTACTAGAAGCTGGCTCTGTCCCCTGCTCCAAGGTTAATTTTATTAACACAGTCTCAGAGTTCCACAGTGTGATCAAACATCCCGCAACAGAGAACGGTTTTGACTTTCCCTAAGCCGGGTCATCCCAGTCACCTGAGTGGGCATCAATACTTGGGAACATTAGGCTGGCATAGAGAACTGAGTCATAACTGTCATTAGGTCACATGGGGAAAGGCAGGTTAGGAGGGGACAAGATCCTGCCCCACTGCAGCCTGCTGGGCTGGAGGAAATGCTTTCCGTGCAGTGGTAGGGACAGCATTTCCAGCTACTGATCAGTACCGATCAGTGTCTGTAGTTCCACTGGCCCCAAGCCCTGCCATCTGGGCTGAACAGAAGAGACTGCCCAACTGACAGCACGCAAACCCCACTGGCACCAGCTGCCCCCTATCTCTACTGAAAAGAAGAATCCCCAAGACAGTTTCTGTTCCCAGGCCAGCTGCAGGCCCATTCCTGAGTTCTGGGGGGAACTAATTGACCTGCTCGGATGATGGCCCTTTTCACGTTCTGCTCTTCATTCATGGTCCAAGCTGCCATTATAGCCACTTGCCCATGTGTGGGGTCCCACACCCTGGACCCATGGAATAAGTGTGCTGTGTGTCCTCTGTGACTATTACGTATCGTTGTGTTACTCTGACAAAATGCTTCACAGAAGCAGCATAGGAGGAAATATGTATTCTATCTCATGACTTTAGAGGATCTCAGACCATCACGGCAGGAGGACATGGCAGAGTTCATGGCAGTGAGCAGTGGTGCTTCTTTATACCCTGGCAGACCAGAAAGGGTGGGATCAGAACCAGGGACCAGGGACCCACCTTCAAAGCTCCCTCAGTGCTAGTGCCCACTTTGACCAACCAGATCCCACCTTGTAAATGTCCCACAGCCTGCAAAATAATTGAGACAACAAGCCTTCTGAACTACCCCTCTCAGATTCAAACCACAGCACTGACTACCCCCAAGCACAAATACAAGAGGTTACATCACTGTCAAATTAAGTTCTAAATGGGTAATGGTGGTGGCGGAGTGCCTTCTCTAAGCAGCAACTGAGGGACAGCTCTTTTCACTCTTGTGTTTAGCACATGACTGTCAAGGTCACTGTGAACTCTGCCTTAGGCTGGTGAATGACTGAGCATGGGGAACATGTGCACATCTGGAGATGGGCGTGGCATGTGCTCCCAATATCCACACAGGCTACTGTTAGAACTGTCCCTTGCCCTACCTGCTCCAGGGAAGCTGGTCCAAATGTGTGCCCAGAGGAAAGCACTGGATTTGGTGGCCTCACAACCAATCTGGACCCAAGACCCACAGTTTCTCCTTCACCGCCATTGCCTCTGGCTTCCCTCCCAGACCTCTTCCTTTTCCACCCACACAAAGACCAGCCTTGGCCCTGCTAACCCCACACAAAGACCAGCCTTGGCGGGTCAGCACACAGAACATGTTTATTTCTTGAGAGCTTATAGAGCTGCAACACAGAGCAAGAAAGTGTGGGTGGCTGGGGACGGGAGCAAGGGCCTTCCCATTGTGTCATCCCCCACTCATCTGCCCAGGCACAGGTCCACCTCAAGGGTTGAACACAGAGTTAGGAGTTGGCAGCTGCAGGGTGGTGAGTGAGCAGCGGAGGGCAGGAGAGGCGATGCGGCCCTGACGGACTAGGGTGGCAGGGAGAGCCCTGGAACTCAGGGCCATGTGGGAGGAGGCCACTCCTCCTTGCCCTACTAGCCTCTCCATTCTGGCTGGCCAGCTTCGTTTCCCCGGCCCAAAAGACTACTGGGGTGCTTCTACCAGAAATGCTGAACCAAGACCATAGGGAGTTTTGTATGGAGCGTCTGAGCTGCTGAGACTCAGGGCACCCATTGCCACTGAAGAACATCATCTTCCCTGCTCCCATTGCCTGAGGTCCCCAGGCACACGAAAGCTGCGCCTTCAGTTTTGAAAAGTAAACAGTCTGGCAGGAAAACTCAGAGACTGAGCAGATGAGATGGCAGGTTCTAGAAGCCTAGTCACTTCACCCTCATCTTGGCTGAGGCTTCTCTGATAAGAAACCCCATGCCACCTCACTACCCAAACTATTTTCTTCATGGGGAGAGCTAATCAGGCATGCAGGGTGCATCTATGGGGACGAGGGGAGCCCAAAGTCTCTTCTGGAAAGAAAAACCACCTCTCTGCAGTTGACCGGGATCTGAGACAGAGCCCTTTCCCAACACCTCTCTAGGATGGCCAAGGGCATGAGGGCCAAGGTGCAGGGCAGCCGTGGGGGAGAGGCTGAGGCTACTACAGACAGATCGATAGACAGACAGAGAGATAGGAGAGGGCACTGGCCCTTCCTTTACTCCTCATCCCAGCCTCGGCTCATGGCTTGCACCACAGCTCCGTAGAGTTGGCTCCAGGCGGCCTTTGTGGCTGGTGTGAAGTCAGGACCCAGGCACTTCTCCAGCATGTAGAGCAGGGACTCACCCACTGTCTGCAGAAGCAAGCAGTACTTAGTCATCTGATGGAAGGAAGGAAAGCATCACTCCATCTCCAGGTGAGAAAGCTGAGCCCTGGGCCAGTAAGGGTGTGCAGGCTTTTCTTCTCTTTTCCTAAGCAGGCCCTGAGTCTAACCTTGAGCATCACCCCGTGCCTACCTTTCCCTCTAAAAGTGAGGATGCACAGTGAACAAAGCATTTCATCTCATTCCTATCTTCGCAACCACCACATGAGAGGGGCCTATGTATTGCCCCGAAACTGTCCGCTCAGACCCAACCAAGTCAGTTCCTGCAGATCGAAGTTTCTCTACCTTCAAGGTAGCAGTGAGATTAAGAAGCCTATACTGTGCAGCCAGGTAGGTGTGAGTTCAGATTCTGGTCAACAGTCCTGGCCTAGATGACCCAGAACAGTCTACCCTACCCTCTGAGCCTCAGCTGAGTAAAATGCAAGACAAAAATCCAGGTTCTGTTAAAAGCTCTTAGCAGCTGCACACAGTATGCCTTACTATTCATCAAGTGAAATGAGGTTTATTGATCCATCATGTATTATTGAGTATCCCCAAACAACCAGGAACTGGGAAAATGCTCAGATGGAGAGGCAATTGAGGCCAGCCCTTGTGACCGGTTCTGGCCAGTGGGACATTAGTGACAGTAGTGCCAGAAGAGGTTTTTTTTTAAGCCTTTCCCACTGAGCTTTGGTCTCCTGGTGGCGGTCCTTCTTTGCTGAGACTTAACTAGCATGAGGAAGGCTTAAAAGCTCACAGGTAGCTTTAGACATCCTAACCCCAGTGGACTCCATACATAGACAACTCCAACCAAATTCCAGGGAAAGAATCAAGTCTAGCCATAAGAACTCAGAAATTGCTTTAAGGGAGGACTTTCAAGGTGGTTTGACACCTATAGAAAGGCCATCAAATCAATTGATGCCAAGGGCCACTGAGCCTTAATGGTTCTTAAGCCATATTAAAGAGAACTCGGAGGCTCTGAGAGGTCAGGTCAGGGTTAGTCATGTACAGGCAAGTAACTAGAGCAGGCCATTATTTCTGGTCATCTGAGGTGGGGGGTCAGCTGGAAGAGAGTGGTGGCCGCAGCTCTGGAGCAAGGAAGTACCCCACTACCCACCGAGAAGGAGCTGAGCCTCACTCCCACAGCCCGGTGCTTCCTGCCCAAGCCAGCCAGGTACTCCTCCAGAGAAGACAGGTCCTCCGCGTTGGTCACTGCAGCATCAATTACCAGCATTACCTGTCAAGGACACACATGGTCCAACACAATCCTGCTTACCACCACAGCCTAGAACCCAGACTTCTCAACCAAGGAGACTCGTAGAATGCCGTTGTTCAGGATCAAAGGGGGTAGGCAGCCAATGTCTGTATACAGTAGGCACTCAGTATGTGGTGGTTTGACTGCTGAAATTCCACCCATGAAGCCCTTCTCTTTCGGGGATCTCAAAACCTGTGACATACCTGTGGAACAATACTGTCTACATGGGATAAGGGTAAACTGGAGTGTTGTGAAGATCATGAACCCAGCCTCGTTTTCAAGGGCAGGTGGCTCGAAGTGGCCCAGACCCACCCACACAAGCCACTGGAGGCAGAGGACTGAGAGAAATGTACCAGGCTGGGTCCAACTGGCTTTAGGACAGGGTGGGGAGGAGGCTGGGTGCAACCCAGAGAAGCGGGAATAGTGTGTGTGTGTGTGTGTGTGTGTGTGTGTGTGTGTGTGTGTGCTGCTTTCCATATCCAAGTCCCTTCTTCGCGACCAACACATGTTCTGAAGATCTGAGACCTCATGGCTCTGCCTCCCTCACCTTCCTAATGTGGTCCAGGAATTCTGGGGAGGAGAGACAGTCCTCAGGGCTGGAGAACTGTTGGCCATTGTACTGGAAAAGAGGCAGCAGGCTGGGTTCCAGGGTGAAGAGCCTGTGGGTTGGGAGCAGCGGTCATCAGCAGTGAGCAGCAACCCAGAAGACCCTGGCTGCTCAGAAGAGAGCCACAGTACAGTTCCTAACGGGGCTCTGCCAGCTTAGTCAACATCCCCTCATCCCTTTTCTGGGCGTTCTCCAGAGGACACTGTGTCCTCAGCCTCTCACATTACCTGGCAGACCATAGCTTCCCCCTAAACGACTGAGAGGCTGAGTTTGTGACAGGCAGGGATCTCAAAATCTAGGCGGAAGTTTCCCTTCTGGATCAAAACTCCCCAATGTCCTCAGATCTGAGGCTTATATGAGTGATGACATCAACACTCTCCTTGTACTAGTGAGCACTAAGCATTTATTAGTTAACTGTGGCTGTGTGTCCCTCATACTTTTAAGCAGTGGGTTCAGAAGAGAAAACAGAAGCTAAGCAAGCTGCCTAAGTAAAGCCTCGGTGGGCATCAGAGTATGTGCTTGGGGGGGGGGAATTGGAGGGGGACAAGGTGGGGGTAGGGGGAGTTTGAAAAAAGTACAGTTGGCCCAACCAGAAAATGTCAGCCTCACTGGGGAAAGCTTGCACTTTTGCGTGTAACTGAATTTATTCCCCTTCCATCTGGGAGAGGTTTTGCACAAAAGTCTTGCTCCGAAGTTTTGGACTGGCCTAGGGGTCTGCGATGAGACGGCTCTTTGGTGATGGCAGAGCCTGAGGGGAGGCTTAAAAACAGCTGTCCTCCTCCTAGAGGGCCTACTCCTTCTCTCTCTTTCCCGTGGTGAGACTGGACGCCTGTTGCCCCTCTCCTGGAGCATCTCTAGTTCTAAGCCTGGTGTCCTCCGAAGGGTTCATCTTGCTCGTGGCTGGGCTGGGCATGAGCTCTCCTGGGCGGGGACAACGTGGCCTTGAAGGTGGATGGGTGGGCACGGGAGCCCATCACACCGATCTAGGTGCCTGTACACTGGGGGCTCATCTCCTCCTACCGGCCCGGCCCTTGTGGGCAGGCCCTACCGTCACTACTCATTAAGATATCGCAGGGGCTACTGTATCTACCTGCCTGCTCGCTGGATGCGGGTAAGGAACCCCACCAGCACTCAGTCAGTTCAGGTGGGAGCCGCTATCTGGGAAGAGCAGATGGGACAGCACCACCTGTCGCGGCACACACACCCCTCTCTCTCTCGGGAGCATCACTGCAAGCCGGCCCGTTTCTCTTCCTCTGGTGATAAGCCCAGTAATCTCAAGCCCACTGCTGCCAGGTACCCCTCCAGTCGCATGCATGCCGGGCCCCCATCAGCACTCACCTGGAGAACAGGACAGTGCCATGTTCCAGAGGGCTGCTGTTCACCGCCCGCCAGCTCTGCCGGATCAGCTCGGGCTCTGAGAGCTCCATGCTTCTTTCTCCCTGGAGAGATGCGGGATGTAGGGATGGGACCCTAGGGGCTTGGGCGCAGTCACCTCACGTGCAGCGCCATCTCCGCGGCGATGGCGGGGAGTTTCAGGCCCAGTGTCTTGGTCGGGAGGGGCCCAACAACCGCGCCTTTACTGGTCCAGCCCAGAGGATGCGCACCCACTGGCGCTTCCGGGGGACCCCGCTCGGGCAGCTGCGCCCTGTGCCCCAAGCTCCCAGAGAACCGCCCTTTAAAGCTACGGTGGTTCCCACCCACTCCGGCTTAGGGAGGCTTGTGCGCTCTCTCTGCCTTAGGCAGGGACGACCAGAGGCCTGGGAAATGTCCAGGCTTCAGAGCCTAACAGAAATTGCTCAGTCTCTGGGCTTGTTTCACTCTTGAAAACTAGCAATGCTACTACTTATCTGGGCTGGCCTAGAGGCACGTGCATGTAACCTCAGCATTGAGAGACCTGAGCAGGAAGATGGAGAGGGTGAAGGCAGCCTGGGCTACATAGATTGTCTCACTCCCCTTCAGTAATAAATAATCCTGTTTTTTAGGGAGAGCCTGGAAGCCCAGGGTTCAAGGTGAGTTCCACCTCCCCACTGGAAAACTCTTGGGCTTGCCATCTCCTGGGCTCATGGTCTTTGCTCACAATTTCTGACTGCTGTCTTCCCTTGAGTTCAGCTGGCTGGACCCAGGTCACCAAATTGGTCTGTCTGCTGTCTTCTACTCAAGCCCTGGATCTGACTGGGGCACCTGCACAACTTTGGGCTACAGAGGCTCTCAGTTTAAGGGACAGAGCCAAGCCATAGCTATCTTAAGCCAAGTGTGGGCTTCAACCTCAGGCCCCCTGGATCAGGATGGAACCCCTCTCAGAAATACCTGGAAATGCACCTGAAAATCATGACAAAAAAAAAAAAAAAAAAAAAAAAAAAACCAACACCCCCCCCAAAAAAAAAACCCTCCAAAACAAAGAAACTAGGAGATGGTTCAGTGGGCATCCCTGCCTTTCGAATATGGATTTGAACTCCAGCACTCAAATTAAAAACAAACAAAAATCCAAGAGTGATGATGCATGGTTTTAATCCCAGCACTGGGGAGGCAGAATCATGTGGATCTCAGAGTTTGAGGCCAGTGGAAGTTCTCCTCAGGACCCTTGTTGCCTCTTCTTTCACGGCATCTGAAGAGTTCATGGGAGGAACCAACACCCAAACACACAGCTCTTCTTTGTCACTCTGGAGTCAGAGGTGACAGAGGACTAAGCGTGCTCTAATCTCTGCTCCCTTTGGGGAGAGAGGCCCAAGATCTGGTGTAGCCTAAGCAATCAGGGAGAGGTATCCCCACCACAGATGGTCTGAATTCTGCTTTGAGAGGGAATATCCAGGTCACAATCTAGGACAGTTCAAGTGTTCTCTAGTCAGGGCTGTCAATGTGTCATTAATGTCCTTAAAGAGCCAGCAGACCGGGCATGTGTAGACACTGTGCCCATTTAACTGTATCCTCCTAACCTCCCTGTGAAGGAGATGCTGTTATCATAGCACCTTACAGTTAAGGAAATGGGAGGCAAGGAAGTTAGCTGGCCCAGGCGCAGTTAACAAAGTGGAAGGGCCAGAGTTTGACCTCAGCTCTGACTGTCTGGCTCACTCTCCCCAATGCCTCCCTCGAATTAACAGACCACAACCAAGAGCCGTGTCCATAATTCAGATGGAGCCATGGTTACTGGGTCTGAGTCAGAGTGTGCTGTGTTAGCTCACACTGCCTTAGAGCTGACTGTGCACCTCTTCCCAGCTCCTCAGTCTCTGACATCAAGTCAGTACCTTGGATCGGCCACAGAGGAAGTGTTTGCACCACAGGAAATGGCAAATGCTATAAACTAGGGCTTAGTTTTGCCCCCACAGGAAATCTGTTATAAAATATTTACCTCCATTGGTCTGGGTACCCCTGGGAGAACCCAATAACCCTGGGTCTCAGCTGTACATTATGCAGAATGTACAAAATCTAAGGCTAACCTACACCCAACCCCAGCTGTGCCTGGCCTCATCCCGGTGTCCAGGGCCATGAGGTGCTCTAGGCAGGAGCTTTCAGTCCAGAACTGGCTGGGGCTGGAGAAGCTCCAAAGACCACCCTTGCACCAACTCCTACCTTGTGATATTCCAACTGTGGGTCATTAGGTAAGTAATATAACCTCTCATGGGTACAGTGCTTCCCTGAGCCTCTGGGAAGACCAAATCGCATGTATCAAAATGATGTTAACTGGCTCTCGGTTGGCACATGCCTTTAATCCCAGTGCTTGGGAAGCTGAGGCAGGCCGACCTCTTAAAATACAGGTCAGCCTGGTCTATAGGTCAAGTTCCAGGACAATCAGGGCTGCAAAGAGAAACCCTGCCTCGAAAAACAAAACAAAAAACAAAGCCAGATGTTTGCTAAGCTATTGCTCCTCAAAGCAGTCCCTTTCTGATTTGCCCATCTCTGGCATCTTCCAGATCCCAAGTGATGGAAATGAGTTCTCTTTCTCCCCAGCCTGCTTTACGGTCCTTAGGGTGACTGCAAGGTTGTCCAGAAGGCATCCAATCTCATAGAGGCATTAGACCTTTAATGCTGTCAGCTGTCACCTTCTGTATAGTCTGTGGGGAATGGAGGAAGCCCTGAATGAATGAATGTAAAGTGCAGGCAAAGTCCTGAGTGAATTTGTATTATTGAAAAGAACCCCCATGCCTCAGACCTGTGGTGATTGGCAAAGCCTTCCTCTGGTGCCTGTGGGAATGTCAACAGAGTGTACACAAGGCTGGGCCCCAGATTCTTCCTTCAGGAATGTCTCTTCCAGCAGGCAAAGACTGCCCCTTACAGAGACCTCTGACTGAGACTAGCTAACTCCTCCCCATGCTGTGCACCTCTACCATAACTCACGAGGCCCAGCTTTTCTGTATGCATATCTGTTATTTCTTCATTTCTGCATCATCCCATGATGAAGGACAGGGCATTCTCAATAGAAGACCTTGTCAGGATGGGGCCCTCTGTTGATTGGAATAGGAATTTGCCATCACACTGGGCCGTATAGTTTTCTCAGAATTAGAGGGGAAATGGTTGCCTTGTTTCTTTCTGTACTGCCTGGGGAAGTTAAACAAGAAAAACTAGGCTCAGCTTCTTACTGGTTTTAGTGTAAGGAATGGAAACAACAGCCACTGTCTCTCAAGTAAGCAAGTACTCAGAAAGGCCCACATTCTCCTGGCATTACGCCAGAGCTTCGGCTGGAATGAGAATGGCCCCAGCCTTGAGATATCATGTTGGTTCTTGCCATCTAAACATTTTTTTCAAGAACAAGTCAGATCCGATTAAGCACAAGAACAATGTAGTGTTAAAAACAAGAGCTATTTATTACAAAAGTAATGGTCTCTGATTATCTCTGGAAACTTAAAAAAGAAAAAAAAGTGTGGTTGGTTAAGACGTTGGCTGGGTTACGCTGCGTGGCACATCTTCTTCCTTGACAGCACTCTGAGATGTGCCTCATCTCTGCCAGTTCCTGAGGGCTGCAGCCCATATGCAAAGCAGCATCCTAGAGCCCACTGCCCCTCCGTCCTCCAAATAGAGCCCAAGTATTTAGTGATGTCACCAAGAGGACTTTTTCCCATAGAAGTATCTGCCAGTTTGGGTATGGAAGAGGGAGAAGATGGGGAGCATCCTTCTTCCCATACTTGGAAACAAGAGACCCCTTCCGTGACACTGGGAGGGGCATGTCAGAGCCCACTGAACTCTCCTACCTACTCTGGCTCTCAAAGGCCACTACCTGGTTACTTCAGGGTTCCTTCCCTCTAACAAGTGCCTCCAGAAATAAGGCACAAGAAAATCCAGCCACCTGTTAGATACCCCCATGGGCCTCCCTGTTAAGAGTCAGATTCCTGCATCCCCTGAGGAAAATCTACCCAGATGGCACCCATCGGGCTCAGAACAAGCTCTGTTTGGTGCTGCAGGCAAAGGTTGGGGAGGGTAATGGGAGCAGAGCTCCACAGTCTCTGCCAGAAAAGCTATTAAGCAGACAGCTCAGACTCCTCACAGAAGGTGAACTTGCTGCTGGGGGTGGGGGGGGGAGGAGGGGAGTCGAAAGGGTGCAGCTATTGGAGAAAATGGTCAGTGGGCCTCAGATCTAATTAGCTACCTTGCCTTGCTCTTGATAGGGCTGAACTTCCTCTATTAACATTAATGATGCTCCAGCTGAATGTCCAAGCAGGGCCCAGAAGCTTTCCTTTCTACCACTCTGCAAGTAGCACAGCCTGTCCCTGAGACCAATTTCCAGTCTCCGTGGCAACCACCTCCTGAAGATGCTTTAAAGAGCTCTGACCCTGTCAGAGTTGAGAAAATGGAGTGTGGCAAATTCATCATTAAACCTTGAAATTTCAAAATCTTCTGGGATCAAATAATTACTTCATTCTGAACTGAAAGGGAGAAGGCAGACTAAAGGGCTGGTCTTGAGGTGGTTTAGTTCTGACCAGATTTTCTTACTCCCTTTGGACAAGGAAATGGAAGAACAGCTCTGAGCTGAAAGTGGTGGGCACTAGAAGCTGTTTTTCAGGTGCTCTGGGTCTTTAGGCAAAAGACTTGATACGGCAGTGTCAGAACAGAAGAAAGACATTGTCAGGGAGGGCTGGGAGTGTGGAAACAGGAATGCCATGCAGGAACATCAGCCCAGACAGGCCGAGTGTCCCTTATCCCCGCATCCCATCAGATGCTCAGTCCCACAATCTCTGCTCTGACTCAGCTGTTGGCTCTTTCAGCCCACAGGGCTTAGTCCTCAGAGCCAGGCAGCTGCAGAGAAAAGGGGATGGTCAGCGAGAAACAGACTCTGGGCACAGAGCAGACAAGATGTGGGTTCCACCCACCCAGCTCAGAGAATAGGGAACCAAAAATCTAAGGAAGGCCAACTATAGTCTGGCAACTTCTCTGCCAGCTTGTGCTCTGCACACGCTACAGGCAGCACTGTATCCACAGAAGACGCTGGTGGCAGTAGCAGGGGGCCAGCCCCCAGTGTGGGGTGCTTGGCTAGCCTCACTGGAAGCACAGGGGTAGGGCAGGAGAGTTTTGATGGTCCCACCTGCTGTGCCTTTGTTAACACTGTGGGGGCGGGGAACAGCACTCTTAGCCCTCAGGGAGGACAAATACTTTCTTACGGACCTTACAAACCCCAACAAAACCAAAATCAATGTAAAAAGATGCCAGAGAATATCCTGTTAACCTTGGACCATTTCTTGGAATTTAAGATACTTGACTCCAGTTAGGTGTTCTACACTCCAAGGGGATTGAACATATGTACCCTCCCACACTCACACCCACTTTCCTTGTGTTGCACAGGAGGGAACCGGCACCAGGTGGTGCTGTAGGTAAAGTGCCCAGGGTAGGTGCTGCAGACAGGGCTGTGGCTCCTTTTAGTGTTGAGTTAAATCCGGGTCTGTTTCCCAGAGTTTGGTCCTGGGGGCTCCTCAGGCAGTTCCCCTGGACGTGGAAGGGTCCAGGATCTGGCTCCATAGCTGAGTGTCCCTGGATCCAGGCTGGGGTCCTGGCAGTGGCCTCAAAAGTCCCATGATTCCAGCCACCTTAGTCCTGCCATTGGACTCTCAGGTTCCTGGGCTAAGGGACCAATCATCCCATAAGCCAGAGGGTGGAAGAGGTAGAAGCTATGACAATCAGAGAAAGGTAGTCAGCATCCCAGAATGTCACCAAGAAGCTCTAACTACAACTTCCCCTGCTGGGGCCCATCACACAACATAACCCAGGCTGTCCGTCTGTCTGTCTGTCCGTCCGTCCGTCCAGCCACCAAAGACCATCCAAGTACTCTGTGACAATACTGGCTGAATGACCAGGAAAGAAAGGGCTTTCCCCAACAGGCCTAACAGAGGTAACCTTTTAGGGGTCTGGCCATGGCATGTGTGGCTCAGAGTGCTTGCCAACATGTACATTTAACTTTGCCAGCAGGCATGTGCTCATGGGTCACAGGCCCCACTACAATGGCTAAGGACTCTTGACAGGGGCTCTGAGACTTTCCAGAAGGCAGAGAGAGGTAAACTTTACAGATACCGGCCTCTTTACAGAGATTTTGAGTCATACCCCTACATCCCCAGCCCTGTGCTTCCCAACTCCTTCTCATCCACCATCTGATGTTTCAGCAAGGAGCCACTGTGACGAGAAAGGGGTACCCTTCTAGTTATGCTGGGTGATGTCAAAGTTAGGAACTACTAGCAAGGAGAAAGTAGAGCGAGGCCCTTGCTGTTCCTGCCCAATACACATTAGGACCACTTGGGCCCAAGAGATTCATAAGCCCCAGGGACGTGGCCCAGCCACAGGAAGACCTGAAAAGCACCGCAGGGGTTCTCAAATGTAGCCAGAGCTCACACTGAAGGGTAATGAAAGGGGATACACACCTGTAGGCAGTTGCCAGAAGCAGGCTTAGGATTCCCATCACATGTATTCTGCTACCCAGGGGAGAAGAGGCCAAGCCCCAGGCACAGAGCCGCAGGAGGGTATCCCACAGGATACCTGTGGAGAGCAGGAGACCTGTACCAGCCTGCGAGGACAACCCTGGGGACAGCACAGGAGGGAGGCCCACAGCAGGTCTGCCCTCGGTTTCTCAGGGTGGCCTCCCACTCCTTGTCTCCCCAGGGCTGGGGTGGGCGGTGGGGGGTGGGGTGGGGGATGCTGACCTGTCAACATGGTAGAGAAGAGCATGGCTGGGAAGTAGTGGTGGAAGTACAGGATCCGGCCCATCAGGAAGAAGGGGAAGTAATGGAGCATCCAGCCTAGCAGGAGCTGGCCACCTCCTCGAAGCAGCACCCTGGACAGCCCTGAGCAGCCCAACAGCACAGCCCAGTGAGGTGGCAGTGGAACAGGGCCTGGGCTCCAGCCCAGCTCTACCCTGTCTTGGTGTGTGACCCTGAATACGTCACACTGTCTCACTAGGCCTTCCTTTCCTCACACGGACTACCCAAATTCCCTGGCAACTAGAAAGAGAAAGGCCAGTAGGTCTCCAGAGTCTCTGGTCAGCACCCGGTCTGGCAGGGATGCCCACAGGGGCCTGATGTGAGCATCTGGCAGGAGACACCCCCCACACACACACAGCTGTCTTCCCTGCCTCCACTTCCCACCTTTGGTTTCAGAGACACTCCCCACTCCCCACAGCGAGGTCAGTGGGGGAGAGTCTGGAGCCGGGGCTGTCCAGTCAGGGAGCGGGAGAGGACAGAAGGGTATGTGGGATGTCTAGATATCATCCATGCCCAGCAGCAAAGTAACCAAGAGGGCAAGCACTGCAATGGCCTGGAGCCACCTCTCTATCCCCACCAGAGGACAGGACCATGGGACGAAGGGAGTGGAGGAGGAAAGAGGGACTTCTCTGGCTACAGTAGAAAGTGAAGGATCTGAAGGCAGTTTGCTGGGCTATAAGCCTCAGTGCCATCACCACTGGCTATGTGTCCTGTGACAAGCTCTTTGTCTTGTTTCCTAATACACAGTAGGCTGATGACACTCTGCTACGACATACTGGGAAGATGCAAAATGTTGAGCCCAGTGTAAGGTACCACTTGACTATGGGCTTTCAAAGTGAAGAAGAGGTAGTGTGTTATGTGGGGGAGGTAAGGGAGCCCCAGAGCAGGCACACTCTCCCCAGAGTGCAGGCCCAAGCCAGCTGAAAAGACAGAGCAGGAAAAGCCCAGAGACCCTGACCTTCCAACTCTGCTGGCAACTGTACACCTCTCTGTAGAACGATGGCAATGATGCTCCCCGAGAGGAGGTAGAGGACAATGCTCACCAGATTCAGCCACCAGACCACCTGTATAGAAGAAGAGCTGAGGATGAGTAGACACCAGATTCTAAAGGCAGATGCTTGGAGCTAAGCATTCAGAACTGGAATACTCACAGGGTTGCCAAGCAGATAGACTCTTAAATCTGTGTCATTGGCCCCTGAGAAGCGCAAGCCCTGTGGAAAAAAAGAACACCCTGCTAATCCAAGGCTTAGATCATCCCTAGCTACCCCATTCAAGGGGAGGGAAGATATGTATGTATGTATGTATGTATGTATGTATGTATGTATGTATGTATGTATGTATGTATGCATCACATCTTTCATAGACAAGCATCCTGGACAGGAGGTTCAGAATGCTCATTCTAAATGAACTCTCTAGGAAGGGGGAGTCAGAATCAGGTAGCAAACAGAGCCTTTCCCAGCCAGTCCCCAAGATGAGGCTTCCCCTTGCCACAAATACTCCAGCTCCACAGATTCAATGGTCTTTTTCTTGGTTCTATTTCCTGGAGGAGCTCAAGTCTTGGGCCTTACCTGATAATTGATAGGCCAGTGCCAGGGTTTGGATGTGAGCTCATTATCCTTGGGTTTGAGGCCATTGTTTCCCTGTAAGAAGCCAGCAAAGAAAGGCTAGTCAAGAAAGAGATCTAACTTTAATACAGACATGAGGCATAATGACCTAATATCCAGCCAAGGGTCAAAAGAAACCCCAATGATTCCCCATCCCCAGCACAGAGCAGTCAGGTTCCCATTTGCAGCCACTGTCCAATTAATTCCTCAGACAAACAAGCCTTGGCTCCTATCAGCCGCAGCCCACACGACTAAAGCCAGTGCTCAGACAGTGTTCCACAAGGCTAAAACCAGTGTGGAGGAGGATAAAATCGGTATTTGATTTCAAACAGAACCGAGACTCAGAAAAGGTTACCTCAGCTTAGTGTCTCAATGGCTTTCCTTTACTGCCCTTCACCAGGAGGAGCCTTTCAGAGTATCATTTTTCTAAGTGCCCTCTGTAATATTTTAACAGAATATCCACATTATATAGCTGTCTATGGACTATACAAATACCTGTGAGAGGTTAAGATTTTTTTTTTTTCCCTCCAAGAATATATCTCTTTGGAGAGAGAAATCATTTTCAGTACTCAATTTAATCTGAAGGACTTGAACCCAGCTAAGCACATCTTGTGACTTGTCTCACATGGCAAACCCAGGCCTTAGCTAAAACAGGAAGGAATGGAGCTAGGATCCTGGACACTAGCTGCCACGCCTGAGCCATCCTCATTGTTAGCACAAACTAGGAAGGAGTCAGCTTTGTTGTCGGGCTGTCCTGTGTTTAGCACTGGGTATCTACTCATTAGAAGGCCAGTAGAGCCCTCATACCCTATGCATCAGCTCTGCTAGCTAAAAATGTCTTCAGATATTACTATATATCACCAGAGAGGCAAAACTTCCCTCAACTGAGAGCTATTTGTTTATCCAAGAAAGATCTAGAAGGTCATATTGTGAAGAGAGAACTTGAACATAGTTTAGTTTGTTTCAGTACGGCAATGGGTTGCTCTCAGAAAGTGCCATTGGTATGTGTATGTGGGTGTCCCAAAAGGATCAGCTGCATATCCCCTGAATAACTGTCCTAGTCACTGTCCTACTGCTGTGAAAGGGCATTATGACCACAGCAACTCTTACAAAAGAAAACATTTAACTAGGAGCTTGCTGACTGTTTCAGAGACTTAGCCATTACTGTCATGGCAGGAAGCGTGGCCTGATCTGTAGGCTGAGAGGTATTGGGGGGATTGGGGAGAGCAGTGGGAGCCCACCTAAGCCTGGAATGGGGTTCTGAAACCTCAAAGCCACCCTCATTAACACACTTCCTCAAACAAGGCCACAACTCCTAATCCTTTCAAATCGTGCCATTCCCTAGTGACTAAGTACTCAAATATATGAGCCTATGAGGCCATTCTTATTCTAACCACCACATTCTACTCTCCAGCCCCCATAGGCTTGTAGACATACCATAATGCAAAAATGCATTCAGTCCAACTTCAAAAGTCCCCCTAGTCTATCACAATCTCAATACTTTAAAAGTTAAAAGTCTCTTATGAAACTCATGGCAATCAGCAATTTCTTAACCGTAACCTTCTGTAGACTCAAAATCAAACAGTAGACCACATACTTCAACATACAATGGCACATAACATACATTACCATTCCAAAAGGGAGGAAATGGGCATAGTGAGGAAGTACCAGAGCAAAGCAAGTCTTAAACCTGACACGGTAAACTTCAAATTCTGCACTATGTCTACTGTTAAAGGTCTCCAATGCCTTTCAGATTTGTTGATGTGGAAGAATATTATTTTTAGGTGTGTGACTTTCGTTTATGCTGCATTTGTTTAACTCCGTGAAGCTGTGATTCTTTGTGTAAAACACCTGATGGTCTAATAAAGAGCTGAGCAGCCAATAGTGAGGCAGGAGCAAGGATAGGCGGAGCTGTCAGACAGAGTATAAATAAAACGCAGAAATGAGGTAAAGGGAAAGCAAAAGAACAAGGAAAAGATGACCACAGGCCAGCCACCCAGCAAGATACGGAGTTAAAAAGCCAAAAGTAAAGAGTAAAAACAACCAATAGTTGACCTCAAAACACTTCTCTCTCTCCTCCTTCTCCTCTCTCTCTCTCTCTCTCTCTCTCTCTCTCTCTCTCTCTCTCTCTCTCTTCTTGGTTCCATGCCTATATGCTGGAACACCCCTGACACATGTCTGGCTTCAGTGGCTTCCCTTAGCCATGAAGGAACTGTCCACATCTCCTTTTCATATCCTTGACTCTAAAGCCAGAACCACATGGCAGAAGCTTCCAAATTCTGTTTGCTGGGGGCTGGAATTTGGCCCCTTGTTTAATTACATTTGCATCAGCTTTCTGTTGTTGTTGGTTTTCTTCACTGTTTGAGCAAGTAGGAAGTTTAGCTAGGTGGGATTCTATTCGGAGGTCACCACCCCCTTTATTCTATTTAGCAATAGGCTTTTCTTTAAACTTTCTATCTCCTTGAACACTGACTCTCTGGTGCTCCTTTTCTCTTCAAACTACATTTTGTGTTTCTTTTTGTCCAGCTTGCTCCTTCCTTTCATTATAGCGCTGCACAAGAGTGGCTACTAATAACTATACGACAGAGTCAATACTAGGCTGTCTTAATATCTCTTCCAAAGCTAATCCAAAACTCTTTAATTTATCCTTAGGCATATTTTTAGGACAAATGCAAAAAGCAGACACATTCTTTGCCAAAATATCTCAAGAATGGTCTCTAGGACACTTATTAATATTTTTCCCCTCTGAAATCTCTTGAGTTGGGCTGTTATAATTTACATTGCTCTTAGCATCACTGTCTTCCATTCTCCTACTAGTATGGCACATTAAGTCCCACTTAAGGGTTCAACTGCTTTCCTAATCCAAAGTCCTAAAGTCCACATTCCACCAACAAGCAGTATGGTCAGGCTTGTTACAGTAAAACCCCAGTCCTTGGTACCAACTTGTATCTTAGTCAATGTTCTATTGCTGTGAAAAGATACTATGACCAAGGCAACTCTTACAAAAGAAAGCATTTAATTGGGCTTGCTTATATATTTCAGGGACTTACTCAGTTATCATGGTGGGAAGCATGGCAGCATGCATGGTGCTGGAGCACTAGCACAGAGCTACATCCTGATCCATAGGCAGAGAGAGAGAGAGGGACGGACGGACGGACGGACAGATGCACAGAAAGAAAGGGAGGGAAGGAGCACACCTGGGCCTGCCATGGGCTTTTGTAAAACTTCAAAATCCTTAAGCAGGACGGTGGTGGTAATGCCTTTAATCCCAGCACTCATGAGGCAGAGGCAGATGGATCACTGAGTTTGGAACCAGCTTGGTCTACAGACTGAGTTTTAGGACAGCCAGAGCTATGCAGAGACTCTGCCTTGAAAACAAACAAACAAACAAACAAACAAATAAATAAATAAATAAAGCAAGCCTTAAAATCTAACCCCAGTACATGTTTCTTCCAACAAAGTCATACCTCCTAATCTTTTCAAATAGTGTCACTCTCTGGTGACTAAGCATTCAAATATATGTGCTTATGGGGGCCACTCTTATCCAAACCACTACAATCACCATAGCTATCCAAACGTCCTTAGAATAAAGAATGAACTATTCTGGTCCTGGGAGTAATTAATGAGGGAAAACAATCCCTTAAAACAAGTCCGATTTAGTTCAAAATCAGGCCTTAGCAGGTCACAGGAATCCTATTCACTATACCCAACTTAGAGAAATCCAGCATCTCTAGAATGCAAAAGATGAAAGGAAGCAGGTCCTTATCCAACAGGATGTGTGTGTAAGCTCAGTCTAGATGGTTCATCCCACCTCACTTTGCCAGGCCATAAGCTTGATCCACCGAGTCTCGACTCACAGACAACAACAGACACCACATACACACCAATAACTGCATGTCTACAGTCTTCATCCACTGTCTCACTCTTCTCTCTAATTCTGGAAGACTGAGACCTCTTACACACCCTTTTCTTTGTCTCTCTTAGTGAAACAAGGAATGACATTCTACAGTTATTTCAATCTTAAAATTCTACTTAGACCCAGACTGATACTCTGAGTGACAGACACATATTCAAAAGAGCTATGTCACTGGGCCACAGTGACAGCTACAAGCACAGAGTCAGAGAAGAAGTGACCCAAAGATTGTTTCATGTCAACTTATCACCTAGCAATGTGCAAAACTGACAAAAAAAAAATCTGGATTTTAAAAGTTTAATCTGATAGAATAAGCCAACTATGTTTTCTAAGGACTGCTTATATAATTACTTCCAGGTAGTCTACTTGACGGTGGCTCAGAAAGAACAGTAACAAAGCCACAGCTCCTGACAGCTACCTCTGTGGCCTGAGACACTGTGGTTCTGAACATCACTCCTCCAGGACTCAGGTTCCCACCTCAAGAGCAAGGGGGTCTTCACCAGACATCAGCTGTAGCAATGTCTCTCCCATTTATGCAGGCAATTCCATCCATGGGCAAAAACCTTCCCCATTTAAAGATTTCCTCTCTCTAGCTACTAACAATAACAGGGGCAAACTGAGTCTTGGGAATCATTAAACAAGAATCAGCCATGCTAAATAGCTTTAGCCCAAGAATAGGAATGGTTAAGGGCTCATGGTTAAGGTTGTATGGTGCATATAAACACACCCAAAGCAGCTTCTCATTCTAGCTGGCTCTAATTTCATGAAATTCCATGAAATGTAATGTGTGGCTTTCAGGGGCACTGCCATCGAGTGGGAGTGACATGGTGACTGAAACTGACCCTGAAAACCACTAGCCTACCTTTGAAGCCTGGATCTACTTTACATATAGCTTTGTGCCCTTAATATCTCTGTGCTTCAGTTCCTTTCCTGTAAAGTGGCAATGACAATAATCTTCACAGGATTGTAATGAATATTAAATAGTTAATATACATACAGTGCTCAGAGTAGTGAGAGCTGCATAAACGTTCACTGGTGTGATGATTAGTTTCAATGTCAACTTGCTATAGCCCAAAATCACCTTGGGAGAGAGCCTTGTTGGTCTGTGGGTATGTCTGTAAGAGATTATTTTGATTAACTGATATAGGAGGGCTCAGTTGCCCATTCCTAGGCAAGTCATCCTTAACTAAGAAAGCCAGCTGAGTATACGCTGGCCTGTGAACCAGCGAGGCTCTATGGTTCCTCCTGTACTCTGGCTGTGAAGTGCACTCCATGGTCAGAAGTAATGCTGTGTGAAACAGCACACAGGTCTGCCTTTCAAGTTCCTGCCCCTTCACTTCCCTCAGTGATGGACTGTAAGCTAAGGAACTGTAAGCCAAATAACTCTTCCCCTCCCTAAGTTGCTTATGATGGCTGGGATGAAAATGGCCTCCTTAGGCTCATAGGAAGTGGCAGTATTAGGAGGTGTGCCTTGCTGGAGGAAGTGTGTCACTGGGAGTGCTTTGAGGTTTCAGCCAGGCCTAGTGTCGCTCATTCTTCCTGCTGTCTGTCAATCCAGATGTAGAACTCTTGGCTTCTACTCTAGCGCCATGTCTGCCTGCATGCTGCCATGCTTCCCACCACGATGCTAATGAACTAACCCTCTGAACCTGTAAGCCAGGAAAACAATGAAATGTTTTCCTTTATAAGAGTTGCTATGGTCATGGAGTCTCTTTGCATCAATAAAACCCTAATTAAGACAGAAGTTTTATCAGGGTGTTTGTCACAGTAGTAGAAACAAAACTACAATGACAGGAATCGCTGTCATTATGCTCATCAAATCACCGCCTCATCCTGTGATACCAGAAATGCCTATGAAGGTCTAGTAAACCAGTAAGGGAAACATTTCAACATCTTCCACAAGCGGGCAGGGATCTATACCATGGCTATTTCTCTATGCTCTAAATCTGTGGGTGTCTAAGAGCTTTAGATTTAGAAGGAATAAGAAGGGCTCACAGTACCCGGATCATAACCATGTGGGACTCCAGAAAGATCTCAGAGAAACTGGGCTGCAAGACATCCAGGCTGATGTTTGGCACTAGGGGGAAATAACAAGAGAAAAGCTTTGTCACACATTGTCCTCACAGTCTGTCCTCAGTACCCACACCCTTGCCAGAGCCCAAGTGCAGTCAGTGTCCCTAGTAAGCTGAGACAGAGGGCAGTGCAGAGGGTCACTTACGTTAAGCACTCATGAGGTAATCTAGGGACTTGGGAGGACACAGACAAGGCCTTCTCTTCGTGTTCTGACAACTCTGGACCCCATCACCCATCATTGTGGCACTGGCCCAGAAGCTGGCCCGTTTGTATGAGACTAGGAGCCAAATTTGTCTCATTCACCCAATATATCCACAAGACCCATGTGGTTCCTGACATGCTTAATAAAGAATTATTCAACTAGTTAATCCACTGTTTGTTTAGATCAGATACTAAGGAGAATGGAATAGCAAGTATGGAGAAATCAAGAACAAGCTGGAGTGGGATGAGGGAAAACGAACCCAAAGGCTTTTTGAGTTGAAGCTAACACTGCAGTGGGAATGTCAAAAGTGATCAATATGGCTGTGGCCTTCTGTGAAGGATCTGGTTGGTTGTAGGGAGAGGAGGTGATTGACACAGGGCAACTGGACCAATTTGCAACAAGCATTGGAGGCCTGGAGTCTCCATGGTGCAGGAACAGAAAGAAGTCTGGGGCCTGAAATGGTCTTAGAGGAGGTCACTGGTCACTTCAGAATAAGAGCTTTAAAGAGGAAACAGACAAGGAGCTATGTGTACACAGAGACAACTTATGAAGACAGCAATGGGGGAAGAAAGCAAAACTGACAACAATAAAATGGAATCATAGAGTCTATGAAGGTTTGTGCTCCTGAGCAAAGAATTCAGTGTGCTTCCTCCTTCAGAGCCAGTCAGGTCCTCAACTCACGTTTGGGATTGATATGGTCTTCTATGTTCCAGATGGAGTTAGCAGTTTCTTTTAGGTACGGAGTGCAAGTAACTTCCAACTGCTCCCAGCCCCTGCCAGAAAAATAGTCACAAACGTCCCAGAAGACTTGGAATGCCCCAAGGTGTAGCAGGGCCTACTGTTCTTACAGCTGTGGAACTTCTCTGTTTACAATTCAGTGGCCCTGAGTCTTTCAACCTCACATTTTCATTATCCACAACTATCCTAACAGTACACTTCACATACATTGTTTCTACTTTACAAAGAGACATAGGCCTAGAGTTTTAACCTCAAGGCAGGCATACAGATGTCCAACTATCAAAGCACATAAAATACAAAGCTATGCTGGAGTTCTCTGCACCATAACATCCCTGATGTTTTCTCTCCTTCCATCTACTACAATCAATCAAGCAAGCAAGCAATCAATCAATAAATAAATAAATAAATGCGAAGTGAGCACTAACCACAGGGTGATTGAAGCTTCTGGTATACCCCTTGTAGTATGAAAAGGAATGGACAAGCTAGATTAGAATATAGGACCCTGAGACTTACCACTTGGGCAGAATCTTTCCTGAAGATCCCAGAACACAACCTGTGACCAAATGGATGAAACGAATTCGACTTCTCAGTACCTTGATCCTGTTCCCAAATTTTCTGTTTACAACTTCAATCCGCCAGAAATCATTTGAATCCCCTGTCCCATTCTGTCACATAAACCAAGAAAAAAAAAAAAAAGTCAGATGATGTTAGAGACAAAGTGTTAAAAAGGGAAATGGTCACCCTTTCAAATGCCCCCATAGGAAAGGGAATGAGAAGACCAAGAAGTATCCCAAGAGAGTGACACTGCCTGGGAACTCCCTATTACAAAAAGTCAGGGTATGATGTGAATGAAGGAGAGAAAGAAATGATGAAACTGTGGAATCTCCAGGTCACGAAGCATGGATTTATTGCTGCCAACCAAATGAATCGTGCCTGTATGCTGTTTGTAGGAAATTATGGGCAGAAAATAATTAAGAATTTATGTTGAAACTTCCTGCTTTATCTAGTAAGCATGCATGACTTGAATCTTATTAGAGTCAATAGATAAAGTTGTCACCAAGCTCTGGGAAATGCAGCAAAAACTAGAAAAAGGAGACTCTGCAACCCCTGAAAATGAAGAAAATAACTGAGGATCAAAACGGGATAGCAAATGGATTCAGGGAAACTAACTTCTTCAAAAGAGAAGAAACTTTGGGAACAGATGGTATCTCAGGGGTTCAAAACAGAGCAAGAAACAAAGACTCTGAAATTAACCCATGTTGTGGACAAACTGAAACTGCTTCTAGGTAATTCAGCCTCTAGAAAGGCTGTGGTTTTAGGCTGTTTGGCTTGTAATCATGGATTCGGAATAGGCAGTGTTGGATGAAGTCAGTATTTCAGCTAGAGGCTCCTGGGCCCACTGCACTTCATCCCCCTCACGTGTCTGTCAGGGTTAGTGATGGCCTCACAATTCGGTTTGAGCATGAGAAGTAGTACTTCAAGGGTTTTTTTTTCACTGCAAGTCATATTATGAAATATATTGATCAATCTAGAAATTTCACACCTAAATTATAATGCCTTTTGCATTTTTGACTGGATGTTTTCCTGCTTTGTAATTATGAGACATTTTCTGGGAAGGGGAGGTTAGGATGTCCATCCCTTAGAGATGGAGGATTTTTTTTGTGAAATTGTTACATTGCCACTTCCCCTAAACATTGACTCTTGATTCTGAAATCATTATATATACATATGTATATACTAATTATATACAATATGTATATAATAATTATACATCTGGAATGGAAAGTTGCAATTTTAGAGCGGTACCTATCATCTGCCTGTCAGAGATGTTAACTGTCCAGGTAGGCCATGCAATATTATGTGCATTGATGAACTTAACATTTGTTTTCAAGTGGATAATTTTAGTGCTCACTTACCCAGTATATTTTTTGACTTGAACATGTTTTTAGTTTTTATTTTTCAGTTAGGTAATCTCATGGAAAATTCTCCTGTGCACATCTTTTCATTAGGATTGTAGAACAAGAGAAACATATGGAGATTTTAGAAGATACCCCTTTGTGGTAGCACAAAGGGGTGTCTTCTAAAATGAACCAGAAGATGTTACACCTTGTTCCTTTGTGATTAGTATACCACAGATAAGCTGACTTGAATTATTTTGAGCAAGTTCCTCTGTGTTATGTGTTTTATGCACATATTACAGTTGGATTGTCTCCAAGGGAAAGCTGTTAATTAATAAGCACCAATAGGTTGTTTTGTTTTGTTTTTCACCAATAGGTTTTTATTCCAATTCCAAGCACTGTGGTTGAATAACATCATCTCATTTTTTATTATTCTTTAAAGATACTCTATTTTCATGTTCTTTTTTGTAAGGGATGGATGAGGCTGTAAATGCAGGGATTTTAAGGTTGTAACTTCATCCCATCACCGTCAGAAGCAGTTCCCTATTTGTTTACTGAAGGGGCACAAGCTTTCTCATGATGTCTTCAGAGATTTATAAATGTAAACACTGATTTGGCTGGTCCTTATGACTAAATATTGTGCGTGTGACTTGTCATCCAGTATTAAGTTCTTAGTTACTGGTTTTTGTGTTAAAAACACAGGGAAGAGGGAACTGCTAACGTCCTAGCTGGGAATCTCTCTCATTTGGTCTCAGGGTAGTGGGCTCTGAGCATTTCTCTTGGGCTTTATTTTGCTAAAGCTATGCACATATGTAAAAAGATAGATTATTTTAGGGAAGATGTAGCCATAGAATTATTGCTTTTGTCATTTCTTAAGAAGTTATGCACTTAATGCATTTGTTTATACAAAGAAAAATTACTATCTCCCAGAAAGTAGTGAAATTAGTTCTGTTGAGTAAATTTTTTATATCACTGTATAACAAAGCTGAAAAATCCCTTTATTTCTATTTATTTAAAACAAAGCCTTTCTATATGTACTCTTGATAACAGATTTTAAGAAATCATAAAAGATGATAAAGCATTTGAATGGTACAATAGATGTAAAAAAAAAATCAATCAATTTAAAAGAAATTTGTTTTTTCATTAAATGTTTATTTGAAATCAAATGATTTTATACAAGAAGTTCAAATACATGTATGTGTGTGTGCATATACACATATATAAATATATATATAAATACATATAAATATATGTGTGTATATGTACACACACATATATAATACATAATCAAGGTATGAATCTGGAGGTGAGAAGTATAAATGCTAACTTAATAGGATCAGAGTGTTAAGTTCTAGACAGCTGATTTTGCCCATAAATCATACTCAAAACCTCACTCTAATAAGCCAATAAGATCTGGGCCATTTGTGTCCATTATTTTAGACATCTGGAAACTCTCACCCAAGCCAGATGGGTCTGACCTAAATACTGTGCCTTGGAAATTAAAGTGGGCCTCAGGAGAGGCCCACGGGAAAACAGATGAGGACTTCAGAGTCTTGGCTTTAGTATAAAGTGGGCTCAGGAAATACAAAGAGGTTGAAGGAATTCACTTTATGGAATTCACACTTTAGCAAAGCCCCAAAGGCCTTAGAAGACAGAGTGATGAGTACATCAACAGTTTCCACCAGCTGCTTTGCTTCAGTTACTCTCAGGACACAAGCCCTTACAGAGCACTTAATCTATTAAGTGTGTGTTCCTGAGATAGCAAAATACAAAGCCATGTTGGCAATAGCTCTCTGTTTGGCAGCGAAGAAACCTGTAAAACAAAACCATTAAGAATTTGGAATCTGCAAAAAGGGAAGTTCTCTTAGGTCATTGGCTTTCTTTCTTTCTTTTTTCAGTGTATTATGGTTGTGTGTATGCGTGCATAACCAGAGAGAGGAGGAGCATACCATGTGGACATCAAGGGCAATCTTGTGGAGTTAGTTCTTTAATTCCACCTTTATGTGGGTTCCAGGAGTTGGAGTTAGGTCACCATGCTTTCATGGCAAGTGTCTTTACCCATTGAGCCATCTTGTCAGTGTGATACTTAAGAGATCTACACAGTATTCCTATCTGATATGTATTAGGTATTAGACTATATAAAGTATATAGCTACTTTGCAAGGAGAGGGATAGAGGCAAAATAGAATTCATAGGCTGCCTGTCTCATAGCAAACTGAGCTAAACAGTTATAGCATGTTAAAGAAGTCTATGGTGCTGGACAGCTTTAATCCAACACTTGGGAGGCAGAAGCAGATGGATCTGTGAGTTTTGAGGCCAGCCGGGTCTACACAACAATTCCCATGCCAGCCAAGCCTACATGTCTCAAAACAACATAACAACAAAAAGAGACTCATCTCTGTGCAGCCTCCAAATTCTTAGAACATTCTAAAACTCTAGGGAAGATGTGTCCTACTACATGGCCCTGGACCAAAACTCACAACTTTTTATATACACCCTGCTCACACCCCAGTTTCTTACTTACTATGCCATAGCCAGTGACCTGATAATGCTTCCGGGTCAGGGGGGCCTCATGATAGTGACTGTGCAGGTTCCGAGTTGTTCTAGAAGTTGGGGGAAACAAGAGCCATTCATTATCTGAAGAGAAGAAATGTGTGTGCTGCTTCTTTCACTAAGAACATTCAGTCATCTGTTAGGGCTAGAACTATCAATCCCAACATACCAGGAAATGTATTTACTCACTTATATGGACTATTCTGAGGACTAGTTAAGAGAGGAGCTTGGGGTGAGAAAGAAAGACAGAGGGGGGAGTAGTGTGCACAGTGCTATGTGGCAGGAAGGCCCAAGGTGGAGCATCACACAGCCTTCACAAGTTTAGCTGCTTTGAAGCTTTATCTTTTCCTGACTAAGGAGGCAGGCCCGGGGAGAAGAAACAAGCAATAAAAATGGATATGCTTAAGTCAGGCAAACTTCTCCATTCCCATTTACTTTCTATTCTCAACAACTTTTTTTTTTTTTTTAAATGGGGATTTACAAAGAATGAAGAGGGGATTTAATTTAGTTTTGATATACTTAGCTTTTTATAACAACTCTTGCTTTTAATCATGAGTAATAAATGTTTATGACACAATTATGGGGTATTTATAAAAATTAAATATGATTCTACTAATTTGTTAGGGACAAAGTCAGATTTATTTAGTTGTAGGAATCTAAAGTATCTAAAATCCAATTAACAAGAAAAACATACCAGTTCTACACACACACATTCTCTCCCCCCCCCTCTTTCTTTCTTTCTCCTGGTATTTCAAAACCTTTTATCTTATAATTACAGTATGTAAATATTTTGAGGCTATTTCTGCTAATGATTGCTTTTGTCTGGTTTTGGTCATTGTGTCTTTTTCTTGAGTAATACACCTTTGTGCATTATTCGCTGTTGTTGAAATACAGTTTACGGGAATGGATTCCAGTGTCTTTCCAAAGTTAGGTTTAACCCTTGCTTCTAGGCAGGCACATAGGAGTTAGTGCCAATCTACTCTCATGTTTATTTAAATCATGACTTAAAGATGCGGAGTCCACTTAGGTGACATGAATGTGAGTTGCAGACCTAGGTGAGGATCAATTGGAAATTCCTTCACCAGGGTTCCCGACACAACTGCCAACAATCTACTCCTACAAAGCCACATTCCCTGGGGTAGAGCGAGTGGAACGCATACACACTTAACCTCAAATCTTCTGGGGTCTAAGTCTTGGAGAAGGAGCACTTAATATTTTGACTTAAAACCTCCTCTTGGAGCAGTAAGGTGGCTTATTCACTAAAGGCATCCACTGCCAAGCCTGAGAGCCTAAAGTTGATGCCTGGGGCTCACTTGCAAGGTTGAAGGAGAGAACTGGCTCCTGCACATTGTCCTCTGACCTCCACACACACTGTGGCTCATGTATACACACACAAAACAAAAAAGGAATACATGTAATTTTTTAAAAAGAACCTTCTTTCAAGAAGTATTCAAAACAAAACACCAAAACTCAATGCCTGAAAGTGGTGGCACATGCCTTTAATCCCAGAACTTGGGAAGCTGAGTCAGGTAGATCTCTGAGTTCAAGGCCAGCCTGGTGTAGAGTAAGTTCAGGACAGCCAGCATCACACAAGAGACCCTGTCTCAAAAAAAGCTAAAATCAAAACAACAAAACCCCCAAAACAAACAAACAAACAAAATAAACAGAAGAAACTAGAAGTAGTGAAATTGACTTTTATCTCTGTTTAAATTAATTGTTCAAAGTTTAACCTGGGGTTAAAACCTAACAGATTTAAGAGTGACAGTGTATTTGGAATGCATATGCCTAGGAGATATATATATATATATATATATGTGTGTGTGTGTGTGTGTGTGTGTAAGTAAAATCTTCTATTCAAGGCCGGCTCCTCTTTGAACATGAGCCAGAGCCAGACAGATGCTATTAAAGAGCTTTTCCTTCATCAATTTCTAGATATGTGGAGTGACTTTTCACTGGCAAGGCATAGTATTTCTATAACAGGACAAGGGGAAATGTAGCCTCAATGCTTCACTATTCTTTGAATTCCTTCTTTCTCTTGGATTTTGGTCTAGTAATTCTAATATCTTGCCAGCTATTTCATATTTTTAAGCAGTTTTTTTTTTAAATCATACTGGTGTTTCCATTCATTCCAATGAATATACAGTAAGACATACTGGTGTGCCAGTCTCAGAAATAGATGCTTACATGTCCTAAAAGTATCTACCTAAAATGCAGCTTTGGGCTATCAAACCATCCTTTCCTTGATGGGGGGGGGGGGAGGCGGTGAGGGCTAAAGTTAAGTTTTAAGTTTAAATCACTGTGCTTTAAAGAGATCTATAAAACAAGAATGTCTCTAACCTATAAGTCCCACTTTCCCAAGGAAAGATAATTTTCTGAAATGCTAGGGGCTGTTGTTCATGTAAGATAATAAGCCACATGTTTTCACTTCAGCAAAGAAGGTTGGTTGCCCCAACTGCTCAGCATATGTTTGATCACCATATGTGGGAGGTACATAAGCAGGATGTATGCTTGCCCTGGATTGAACAAAGGCAGGAAGTACACAGCCTGTGAGTTTTGCCTTTATAAGTACCAGACTAACATACTTCAAGGACATCTCTGGGAATCCCAGGTACGGAACTGGCCACTGTCCACCATTCTGGCCAGTATTTAATAAATCTTGCTTCAAATTTGGCTCAAAAATCGTGGTAGAGATCATACTCTCACCCAATGGGATTAACAGGAGGAGGAACACTGAAAGGTATCCTTAAAGACCATGGCTCCTCAAAGCCAAAAGCAGCAGGCAAAGGCTAGCTCACCACTCATCCTTATATCATGCACAGATTTCTTACTCCACACAGAAACCTGGTTTCATTGCCTGAGCCTCAGCCCTCTGCTCTACCATTCAATTTCAACAATAGCAGGTTCACTTACTCTTTGTGTTCTAGTCGAACGATGTCTCCATGTCTGACAAACTCCACTGGGAATGAAGGATCTAGGGGATCTGCCAAAAAGGAACAAATGTGGCTATCAAGTGAATCACTCGCATACTAAGCTCGAGACAACTGCTGGAAACAGTTACAGTGTTGTGTGATGTGTGCTGACAGTACCAAAGGCTTGGGTCTCCAGTCACCTCAGAGGATGAGCAAAGGGCATCCCAGCAGTAGTGCTTGGAGATTCTCAAGGAGTAGGGAATCCTGTCAAGTGAACAGGCAGGATAAAGGAACAGATACAAAAGAACCACACAGAATAAACTGAGCAGCAAAGAGTCTGTGACATAAAGAAGTAGGACAAAGGACAGAGTGAACAAGTGGAGCTAGACCGGTCACTGTGCATGGCTGGCAACATGATCTTTGTCCGACAAGTCCTGAAGCCTCCACTGGAACTTCAGGTGGGAGGCCAAACAGTGAAAATCTCCTTAGTGAGTAATACAGTCTTTACAAAATTACCTCCATGCAATTGCCCAGATCTTTTCAAAATCAAATTTTATCTCTGTTAATAGACTTCCTAAGCATGAGATGAAAACAACAATGAGAGAAAAGGACCCCTTCCTACGCATCTAAAAGTCAAAGCTGGTCATGATCTACAAAGGTAGCGGCATAGAAAAGCAGCTGGCAGCCGTCACAGCAAGGCAGAAGGCACCCTTGTAAAAGTCTGTCACCAATACTGAGATGCCAAGACTCTACAGACAATAAAGGTCAGGAAAGCTAAATTTGCTAATGCAAATTACTGGCTGTGAGATTCACTTATATAGACAGCTGTTGCTATGCTGCCTTATAAACAGGGAAGGAAGTTTGACTTGGTATGGATTAGGGTGAGGGGCTTTACAGCCAACAAGAATACTAAGTAAGATCTTAGACTACCAAGTTTCCAGAAAACCCTTAGCTGCTTAGGTAAAATGCAACTATCTTAGCTTAGAAGCCACAGTGGAAACCAGGCAAGTTCAAATGACTGGAAGTACACCCAGTTTCCCTCAAACTCCATTATGACAGACCACTTACTTTGGCCTATTGTGTCAAAAGTGCAATCAATAGCAACACCACAGACTCTCTCAGGGGGTTAATTTACATTACTGAACATGCAAAAAAAGGCAGCCGGAGAGAAAGCTGTTGTGTGTCTGGTTCTAGCCTAAAGCAGCAATGTGAGGAGATGGCAAGGAAAAATAAAGGGAGTCCCTTTTCCAGATAGGAGCAGCTGGCTACTGCCAGTTCAGGCAGGTGGTATTTGCTGAGCAGTCACAGAAAATGCCTGGGGTTCAGGTATCACCAGTGAGAATGGGCTCAGATAATAATGACCCTACTACAGCTACAACAGAAAGCTGTCCACAGGTTACCTTCCAAGGAAAGGAAAACCACAAAGTACCTCTCACTTAGTCCTAAAACCAGAGAGCCCAGCGTGTGTGTGTGTGTGTGTGTGTGTGTGTGTGTGTGTGTGTGTGTGTGTGCGTGCGCGCGCATATTTGTTTTGTTACAACAAAACATTAGCTAAGCCCAGGAACAGGGCTGGCAGTGGCTTGGATTATCAAGTAACTCAGCCAGCCCAGAGACAAAAAAGGAACGCACTCTATCACATCAGTACAGCAGCTGGGATATGTAGGGTTTGGAAATGAAAGCAACTCCTAGGTAACCTAGGATAGGGCTACCCAGCAGCCTCTGGAGTGGGCTTACATAACCTCTTCCTGGATGAAAACTGAGCCCTGGCTCTGCTCTGTTTCACTCACTGCTCATCCTCTATGCTTTCTGTCTTTGGAACACAGCAGGAGCTCAACAGTGTTCAAAAGGACACCTGAGATCAGAAAAGATGTCAAAGGTGTTCAGGAAGGAGCCCAGTGTCATGAGAAAAGTGAAGGGGACTCAGTGAACAACAGCACAGAATCCCGGTCTCTGCCACATTACCTGAGTTTGTATTATGTTTCTTGATAATCCACAGGTTGTTGTAGTCCTTATGCAAATAGGTGGTAACCTAAGCAGAGGGGGCAAAAGGGGGGCATTACGATCAGCACAGCTGGCCAAGCACAATCCCCAACAAACTGACACCACTTCAACATTTTCCAGGGTCCCCAGCCACCAACTCAGGAGGTCAGATTTCCCAGTGGAGTTCAGAAGAAGCACTCCTGGATGAGATTTTCTCCATTTTTCAGAATTTAGAGGTCCTACTGCTCAAGAACTTTTTATCCCAGTGGAGTTCAGAAGAAGCACTCCTGGATGAGATTTTCTCCATTTTTCAGAATTTAGAGGTCCTACTGCTCAAGAACTTTTTATCTTTCTTTCTTTTTGTATCTTGTCAATAAAATTTCAGCTGTCTTGAAGGAAGACCATTATACTGTGTGTAAACAGTCTCCAGCCAGAAGCAGTAGATTTAGCATATTTATAAGTGATTAAAACAATGCCTGGGGGCTCAGTGGTTAAGAGCACTGGGTGTTCTTCCAGAAAACCTGGGTCCAATTCCCTGCACCCTCAAGGCAGCTCAAAAACTGTCCAGTTCCAGAGGATCCAACACCCTTCCTTACACAGATACACATGCAGACAAAACATCTATGCACATAAAAAGAAGAAAGAAAAAAAAAGCCATGGTCTGGGCTGAGGATACAGCTCAATTGGTAAGGTGCTTGCTGGACAGACATCCTCATATTTGATCCCAGAATGAATGTAAGAAAAGGCTGGTGTTCTCAGAATCCTATTATGGGGAAGAGGAGATAGGACAACACCTGGGCCTTGCTGGACAGCCAGTTTAACTAAACCAGTGAGTCCAAGTTAAGTGAGAGAGACTTTCTCAAAAAGTAAGGTGGAAAGTGATTATGGGAGGCACCTGACGTTGATCTCTGGCCTCTACATACACATGCACATCTGTGTACCAACATCCATGCACATTTACAAAAAAGGCTATTATTTTTTCTTAATATGTGGGTAAATGACACTAAAATGCTCCATAAACATCTTATCCTAGATGTTCATACTGTGTCTAGATTCTTACTCTTAGACCAGTCACTGCATTATAGAGATTCACATGAGTGCACACACAATTTGTAAAACATCAGTTTATGGCTATGGGTTAAAACTCTAAGATAAACTGGGCGGTGGTGGCGCCCACCTTTGATGCCAGTGCTTGGGAAGCGGAGGCAAGTGGATCTCTGAGTTAGAGGCCAGCCTGGTCTAGAGAGTGAGTTCCAGGACAGCCAGGGCTACACAGAGAAACAGTGTCTTGATACTGTACACATGAGAGAATATTAAACACCAGTAAAAACATTGTGGAACATTTTTTTAAGCAGTATGCAAAAAGGCTCATGAGATGCTCCCACTCACAGTGGCTACTGTGCATCACCAAGCACTATTCTGACCACCAGGCAAGTCTCAGCCTGCTCAGTCAGTGTCAGAGTTCAGTGCTGTAGGTGCTATTCCCCCACAATAGTACAAAAGGATAGCCTAGGTTATTTGCTCAAGATGACACAGCTTATGGTTTGCGGAGCAAGGAGAGAACAGACTAAAAATATACATCTTTGCTAGGCATGTAAAAACACAAAGAAACAACAAAAATACATGTATTTCTTCTGAGTTTTTATCACTTCAATTGGACACAACATGACTAATTTACTTGCAAAAATAAGTTAGAACTAGCATTATGGGGAAAAAATCATTCTACATGTACTATGGCTATATTTGAGTTTTGTGTGTTTTTTGGCTCATACTGATGAAACAAAGCTAGATCCAGTCTATCTACCTGAGACTTGTTCACAGATGTCAAGGTCCTGTGGGTCTTGTGCAGAATGCCAAGAAAGCCTCTGGTAAAGAGTGGAGGGGTACCAATTGTGTGTGGGGGGGGGATCATGAGATAGACAGAGGGGAACCTCTGAGCTGAAACCTAACGAAGCTAAGGTCAGCCAAAGGAAGGAAGAGAAAGAGCAAGAAGAATACTGCAGTCAAGAGGAAACAGGTGAATTAATGAGGCTAAGCTAGAAAGTGATAGAAAGGGAATGGCAGGTTCAGTCACAGAGAACAGTTGGGTGTGGCTATAGCCAAGCACACAAAAGCTTACCCACCTGCTGCTGGAGAGCACCAATGCCCTCAGGGTAGAGATGCCTATGGGAGTGCAGGTAGCCAATGGCCATGCGGAGATTCTTCACAGTGATTACAGAGCCGTATGCCAGGTCTGGAGGAAAAGAGGCATCAGACAGATGACAGGCTGCCCCTGCCTTGTGGGTGGGTGGGGCATGGCTGCAAGCCACAAGCCCCAAAGATCCTCTTAGAGGTCAGGGGGCCCAGGCCTGCCTAAAGCTGGAGTCCCTGCTGCCTTCCCACTCCAACAGAAGCAACTCAAGAGAGAGATCCCTCCTGCCGACCACTGCCACTTTCACTTCCGATCCACACTCCCTCAGACTGCTCCTCCACAGCGCTTCTCATTCCTTTCTCTTGCCTTCCTTCTCTAATAACCTGTTTCATTCTCTTCCCAGTTCTCATGCAGTCACTACCACAGCATCAATATCTTACCCCCAAAATGTCTCCTAAGCTCCACTTAACAAGTTTCAGTCCAAAACTCCCTCTCTAAGGACCAACTCCACATTACTGCTCCTCCAAACCACTGCTTTCTCTTGCTTTCCAAGTTCCCATTCCTTTCAGTCTGTGGAGCCCGCTGTGTTCCTGGCACTAGATACAGTAAAAGAGCAAAATGGCAACCCTGCACTCAGGGCCTCCTTTTGCCCTCCCTTGTCTGGTCCTCCTTGGGTATGTTCTTGGCTGTCCCGGATCCTGAGGGATCCTTGGGTACAGCCCTGCAATGACTTCCCAGTGGATGCCCCTACCTTCCTAGACGTGTTATACGTCCTTCCAGCCATGCTTACTCTACAATGCACAGCATTCCTAGCTGCCTGCCTGCTCAGAAACCTCCATGCGGTCTCCAATAGCTTACTCAAGAATCTCAAATCTCATCATCTAGGTCCCTGCCCTCTTTTCTAACTTAAGATTCCAAATTCTGAATATAATAACCCATGCCTTGAGTTTTACCCGGCCCTTAGCTTTGAACCTGCCATCCCTTATTGCCCAATGTGACCTGCACTCTTCAGTACCTACTGACCTCTACTCACCCTTCCAGGTCCAACTCCAAGGCACACCTTTATATGCATGTGTATGGGATCCCTTGAACTGTCTCCTAACTCTGATTCAGCATGTGCTTTGATCCCCAGTACTGTATTCCATCCCTTTTTTCTTTTCCTTTTGGAGACAGGGTCTATGTAGCTCTGCTATCCTGGAACTCTGTAAACCAGCCCGGCCTCAAACTCACAGAGGTAGGCTTGCTTCTGCTGGGATAAAAGGTGTGTGCCACTTTACCTTGTTCTGTATTTCCCTTTATGTATTAAATACACGAATGGACGTCCTTCACATCAGACTGTCTCTGGAGGGTGAATACCTGCTAATTACTACCTGAGAATAAATATATGCATAAGACTATCAGAACACTGTGATAGCCTACAACTGCCCCTAGAGGCCTTGCTCTGGGACCAGATTCTCTTGAGATGGCATTCTTACAGCGCTAGCTTTGAAAGCTACAATGGAGAAGTTATTTTGAGGACTATGGTAACTGACTCTTGAGTATTTGTACTGTAACACTGGGTTTTCTCCAAGTCTGCTATATAGAGGCTAAAAAACCCAAACTTCAGACTTGCTTTTTCCAAGTCAACTCCCAGGGAAAACCCCTCTGTCAAGCACTCACGCTCAGGGATAGAAGCATTGTGAAGGCTGTTCCCTGAAAGCCGGGCTTGAAAGGCAGAACTGAAGAAACCATCACCAGGACCACTGTGGGGAAAGGAGAAGCAGAAGAGAGTCAAGCAAGCTGAGACAGTAGAAACTGCCATTTCCCAGAGACCTTCAGTTGATTTAGAAGGAGACTTGAAAATCTGAAAGGCAGGGTGGTTTCATGAAACAAACATGAATAATGGAATTGGAGAAAATGCAGTCCAATTTCAATTTCATTTCCGCCACTAACTATCTGGGTGACTTGGGCAATATCCCTAACCTTTTTAGCCTTGGTTCTTCATTTATAAATAGGAGATTTTTTAAAAGCCCAATGAACTCACCAATAATGATAGCTAAATGAGATTATGCATAATGCTAAACCCAGTTCTCGGCACTTAGTAGCTATTTGTGAAATGAGATATTGCTGTGGGTGCCTTTCCTGGTTATCAGTATGTCTAGTCCCACTGCAAACCTGGCATCGATCCTCACTAGAGTGAAAGGCCTCGGATGGAGACAGGGGCATTTAGGCTCTTAGGGAACTCTCTGCCTCCTTCAAGGCTGGGTGTTCCGAGCCTTGGAATGTGCAGACGAAAACACAAGGGGGCAGAGGAGAGTTCCTCCCTGGTGGTACCTTTTATTCAGCACCATGATGTGAAGAGCAAAAATGGTCACATAGAGCACCAAAGGCAGCACTATGAGGCACAGGATTCGAGCAGTCAGGTGCTTCCCCACAGTCACCTGCAAACAGACGGCACCACAGGTGGTGGTCACAGGAAACGTCACTGTACGTATAGTATGAGCCACATTGGAAGGGATAATGGGTGAAAAACCCAGGCCTTTCTATATTATTCTCCATCTCACACACTCACTCACTCACTCACACACACACACACACACACACACACACACACACTCAGCATAACATGGGTCACTGTCTGGTGCCCTTCCAGGCACTGTACCCATGACCACTGCAAAGGTGACACTGTTGTTCAACAGTGGCCTCCAGCTCACTGAACTCCCTGAAGTTTCCCAAGGCTCCCTGCACTGACTGTCCCAGCTCCTTGTCACATGGCCAACTGTTGCTGGCCTTAACCTCAAGCCTCAGCTTCCTCACAGGCCTCCCTGGTGCACCTCCCCTCTGCTGCCAAAGCAGGACTATAATATCCCCACCCCAACCCCCCAGGTTCCAGAGGATCATGTTGTAGTCACTAGTACATTCCCAACATTCTGCATTTAGTAAATGCTCTCTCTATATTTTCCGAATGAATAAACCTGTTGGAAATTTGGTAGTTGAGCTCTGGAACCGGCCTAACCCAAGCCAGAGTCATAGATTGCCCTCTTACTACCTCTAATACCTGTAGTGCCTTGGGAAGTTATCTCTCTAGGTTTCACATTTTTCATTTGTAAAATCAGTGAGTGGTAATAACCACCCACTACACAGGATTTTAATGAGATAATGAAAGCAAACCATTTTGTACAGTGCTTGGCACTGAATCAGCCTTTGATTACTAAAGTCATTAAAAAAGGAAGAAAGAGAGGGAGGGAGGGAGGGAAGGAGGGAAGGAAGTAAGAAGGAAAGAAGGAAGAAGGGGAAAAAATATTGTTGACTAGCTTCCAAATATGGAAACCGTGGGTCAGGAAAATTGTGAATTCAGAAGTTTAGAGTCATCTTACTCATTTGACCTAAGCTCTTAAGCCCTTGTGAATTTAGAGCTCAGCTGGACAGAATCCTCTGGCTGGGTGATTTAAAAGAAATTAAGGGAGGTAGGGGGAGGCAACAATAAGAGGCTTGCAAGGCAGTGACTCCATTTACTCTCTTATACCGCTCCAGCCCCTCAGTCAGACCCACTCCCGGATATCCTGGTGTCTACAAAGGAAAGAAAGCTTTGCCTGTCCAGTCTGGTCATGGCCCAATACACAGAGCATAGCACACAGCCACTTCCTCCACCCACAGCAGAAGCAGAGAAAGGCCAATGGGAAGAGCACTGTGGAACAAAGACACTCACAAGGACTTGAGTTCTCACCAGAGAAAGACTGAGGTCTCCAAACAGGTGCCAAAGGTCTGAGATGGTGTTCAGTCCCACTTGCAGGATGATAAAGAGGCCAACAAACTTGACCCCTAAAGCACCAGCGAGACTAATGCCAGTCAGGCTCAGCCAGAACCACCAGGGGGCAGAGAAAGGCCTGGAAATCAATAAGATATAGTTCAGTCTAGAACCAAATGGGAAATCAAGAGCAGCAGCAGGACAGTACCCAGACAGCTATGCTGTACCCTAAGCCTCCAGGGTTCTAAACCACAGGGAACCAAGGCAGGGATCCAAGCAGGCTGTGCTCTGTGAAAGCCCTCAAACTACGGGCAAGTTGGTATGAAACAAAGTAGCATGTTGTTCTGGGGAGGCTCCATGATGTTCCTGGCTAGGCATAGGGCATCTTACACAGAAACTTACTCTTCACTAGTGACAAGTCAGGTAGACATAAAAGGAAAATCCCAGAAAAGTTCTCTGGACTCAAGCCAGACTTATCCTTTGTGTCACCTCTGAGCCTGCCAAAGCCAGCATTTATTAACTGTTCGTTACATGTCAGGCACCGTTCCAGGTGTTGAATCCTATCATTCTAATCCTCATCAAACCCCTTAAGCTAGAGCTCATTATCCTCTGTTTACACATAAGGAACTGAAGCACAGATAGGCCAAGCAATGTAGCTAGCAAGTGCTGGAGGGCAGTTCAAGCCAGACAATCAGCTATAACATTGATGCTCGTTATCGGTGTTGTCCTAGCAGCACCGAATACACTACAGCTGATTTTCTAATGATCTGGCATTTCCCCTGCCAGAATGACTATGCCTTAAAGGCAACATCTTTGTTCCTCTGCCTCTCTCTTCTGGTATGGTACCTGGCATGGTACCTGGCACATGTCATGTATTCAAGAAATGGGAGGTAGGTACAGCTCGCTGATGGGGCTTGCCAAATATATAAAGCCCTGGGCTCAATCTTTGATACCACTACTTTTTCCTTAAAAACAGGGTTGGGGGGGGGCTAAGATGGAAATGGATGTGGAAGAAGCAGAAGATAATCCAAACCCAGAGTAGGCTGGTAGTCACTATCTGGGGAGGGGTGGACTAGCATTATATGGGTAAAACACATTGCTTTTGGGGACAGCCTAGGATATACCAGCTCTTTTGAACTGTGAACACCGTGTTTGAATACATGGAATGACCTACTCTATTCCCTTGGAGGTAGGAGAAGGATCCAGAAAAATAGAAGAATTCTGGAAGTAGACCAAAATCCAGATAAGCTTTAGAACTGACTGATTTGTATGGAAAATCCATCATTAGGTCAGATTGGATGCAAGCCTTGAGGCTGGGAGACTAGCACCTCTGAGGCAGCATCTACACTGGTGTCTCCCCTCCAGGATGGAGGACGTGAAGGATGACATGTCCCACAGCTCCTTGAAGCCGCAATGGTGCTGAGGGACAGTTCATAAGGCATAGTGAGGAGGCAGCATCAGGACTCCTCCATAACACCTACAAGCCCCTCCCCAGTTGCATACTGACTAAATATTAACACGCTTGGCAATTAACAATTTCTCATTTTGTAAAAAGCAAAACTAAAAACATTTATCAGAGGAAACATTTAGACATTATCTTAAAAGACAAATGGAAAGTATGCTCCTCTTAAACTAAGCTTGAATGCAAGCCTTGTAAGCACCCACCCGGCCCTGCCCCAATCAAACTCCTGGGCTGCCATGGTTCCTGCCTCTGGCCCACCCTACCCGAGATGGTATCTCTGACCTGTCAGCGCAGGAGTTGTACTTGACCATGCTCAGCATGGCAGCCATGATGAAGAACATCAGGATGGGGTCAAGGAGGATGTACTGGGACAGAGTGAGGCATCCTGTGTCTGAAAAACAGGGGCTTGCTGCTCAGAATGTGGAGTGAAGAGAGAGATCTCTGAAAACCAAGCACACTAACAGCAGGAAACAGTCACTCTCTCTGCACTGCAAGTAAGCATCAGGCAATCATGACTCGACGGCCATTGATTTCCACAGGATTATCAGCATCAAGGATTCAGCTTGGGGCACAGCACAGCCCAGTGACAAGAAGCAGTACCAATGCTACCTGTAGGTCCTGTGTCCCAGAGGCTCATGTCACCCACTCAGAGCAGCCCTGAAGCCACTTCCTCATTTCTACCATAAAAAGAATCCACATGCTGATACAGTTGAAAATTACAAAGGTAAAGGAGTTTTATTTTATATGACACTTTTATTGACAGCTGACTCCCTACATAGGTACCAGACCAATTAAAAAAAAATGCTTAAGTTATATCATATTCCCGCTTAAGCCCTCTAATGTCGTCTCATCTCACTTAGGCTAAAAATTTCTCAGGACAGTTCCCAAATCCTATATGGCCTCCATATCTGTCTAAACTCAACCCTAACATTCTTCAACATTCTCTACCCACTACACCCTCACTGTGCCAGCCTCTTCTTGTTACTCAACTATATTAAGCACTGTACGAGGATTACTATATAGGCTCTTCTCTCTGCCTTAATAGTCTTCCCTCGGAACTCTGGGAGCTGATCCTGTTTCACTCAGGCTTCTGCTAGACACTATCTTTCTGGGGAGCTCTTTCTTGCTTACCCTATCTAAAAGAGTATTGATCCCCACTCTGCTTTGTGTCTAACCTGGCACTAATTGCTTCAGATGCTCTATTACAAGGTTTGCCACTATACCTAATGACCTGAGTGTGATCCCTTGGACCTACTTGGTGGAAGGAGAAGATCAATTCCCATAAGTCATCCTCTGACTCCCACAGGTGTGCCATGAAAAGTGTGCACGTGCCTTCCCCATCACACACAAAGTAATAAATTTAAATATTAAAAGAAAAGTAGCATGCTTTATCACATGTTAACAATGTACTGGCCTATTTGTCTGCCCTTCTATAGGGTATACTCTTTGAGGATAGCATCTCATCACTGTATTTTCTGAGGCCTCAAAAGGTGGCCAGGTATAGGGTAGGTGCCTAGGAAACAGGTATCAAATGGAAAAATGAAAAAAATGACTGACTATGAATAACTACATAAAAAATACATACAAGGAAAAACCCACTAGTTCACACAGGGACTCCTATAACCTTGTCATATATCCATGAAACAGAGCTACACACCTGTCTGAATAGCCCCTAATACACTCACCTATATTGGTCTGGACTTATTTACATATAAAGCACACAAGGCCATGGATTCACTTTAAGAAGAATACAGTTAGAACCAGGACTACTTCTGCAGTTAGCCCTTGTTTACCAGGTGAGGATCCAGAGAAAATACTTAAGTTCTATTGTTATTTTCTGCTTCACTGCTATTTCTGGGCATCTGCCTTTTCATAAGTTGTAATAAATTTAGGGGATGAAAACTAATAACAATGTTAACCTAAGAGAAACAAAATTAACCCAATAAACATAGACACATACAAACATGCAAATGTATGTAACTTAAAGAAAACTGATGTTGAGGATTACCCATGCCCCAAAGAAGACTATAAAAGGGACTGGCTCATTGGAAAAACACTTGCCATGCAAGCATGAAGACTGGAGGTTGGATCCCCAGAACCCATGTAAAAGCTGGGCAGGCATGGCAGCCACATGTAATCCCAGCACACAGGAGGTAGAGATGGATCCTCAGGGAAAGGTGGTTAACAAGACTCACTGGAATTGGTAAGTTCTGGTTCTGCCTCAGTAAAGTAGAAAGCAATTGAGGAAGACAACAATCAACTTCATGCTTCAAACACACACACACCACAAACATCCACACATGTGCAAATATACACACACTCATGAACACCCCCTGACACACATTGTCTCACAGATGTAATTATACACTTACGTGTTACTAGTAACGATAAATTTTACCCAATCCTAGTTAATTAAGAATTAGTAGGACAGTGGTGGTGCAGGGCTTTAATCCCATCACTCAGGAGGCAGAGGCAGGAAGATCTCTAAAGAGTTCCAGGCCAGGCTAGTTCACAGAGCAAGTACCAGAACATCCAGAGCAACATGGAGAAACCCTCTCTCAAAAACCAGAAAACAGAACACTACCACCTGACTGCACAGATGTGACACTTGAATGTACTGATTTCCAACCACCCACATGGTGTGACAGCCCATTTCCCAAGACACACAGGTTAAGACAACTTACCAAAGGTGAGAAGGGCGGCGGTGAGCAGTGCCGCTGGGAAGGACTTGGACAGATCCAGTACTGTGAGGTAGGCAAAGGGGATCAGCCAGGAACCCAGGAAAGCACAGAACTATGGAAGAAGACAGAAGCTGTCAAATAATCAGCTGACCTGGTATACCAGTGCCTAAGACCAAGAACCTAACAGAAGAGGCGTGGTGTGGGTGATTTGAAATTGCATGGAGTACGCAGGGGAGTGTCATAGGAAAGAACCACATAAAGCTGTGGGTATGCCCCTCGGAACCTTGGCACGTGTCCTGGCATGAAATTAATTACAGGAAGAGGCATGGCTGCCCATCATAGCCAGCTGTCTCCTGTCTCAGCCTACCATCATTGCAATGGGAAAAGTCAGAGCTCCTACCTCACAGGCTCAGGCTGAGGAGTACATGAATTCAAGGCTTACTAACACGCAAAATACTTCACCAACATGAGTGTCTAGCATAAAAGCTATGGGTATAATTGGGCAGACCTCTTTAAGGCATCTTAATATTTTTGAGACTTCTACTGATATTCTTGTAATGTTTCCCTGGTTCTTTGCTTTGGGGATACCAGAAACCACTCTTAATCTACAGAGTGCATTTTGATTTGGGAAAAATGACTGATTGACACTTCAATAGGTGGAGGATTTGCGGGTTTGATTCTTCTATTTCCTTTGTCTGCCCATCAGCAGTGACCAGACAAGGCCAGGGTAATGGGAAAAACTTCCCTTTGGGCCATCACTTATATAAACAGGAAGTAATTGACCTAGTGTGAAGAGAATGCATGAAACTACTTCTCCTTTCCAACTTCCACAGCAAGTCTATGGTAAGTATTGTGCATACTCTGTGGTGTTCAAGGGTTATTAGGAAGAAGAGAATTTCTTGAGAGATCTGGGTGTGGTGGCATAAGCCTTTGATGCTAACACTCCAGAGGCAGAAGCAGACAGATCTCTGTAAGTTTGAGGCCAGCCTGGTCTAAAAAAATAAAAGAAAAAGAAACAAACAAACAAAAATGTTACTTAGAAGTGTGAACTTAGAGGCAGGGCACCCTTTGTTTAATGTGGCATACAGGATTGTAGAGACCATCTACAGCGATTAGCCTCAGGAAACACACAGTCACCTAATTTAACTTGTGAGAGTAAAGTGCTTGGAGAACTCAGGCTGGAGGCCAGCTTCCACAGGTCTCATTAGGTCACTCCCAGGGAGTTGAGTGTTAGGCTCTGCCACGTTCCATTAAGCTGATGCTGGGAATCAGGATGCAGAGGGATTGGAGTAGGCATGCAGTCTCCCTGAGAGTGACACTTGTAAATGCCCTACTTCCTTTGTGAGGAGGGAAATAGCAACCTGGAGACAATGTGAAGATGCCATAATCTGAAGGGAAGGTTGGCAGAGACACAACCCAAGCATGAACTGACAGGCTGCAGTGTGCACGGCTCATAAGCAACCTCTGTGCTATTTGAGGCCTTTCTTTCTTTCTTTCCTTCCCAACTCACTTCCAGATTTCTACGTTAGCGGTGGGCTCAATCATTCTCCTCTCCCCACTCCGCAAAGTCTCTTCATCTACACTTGCTGCTTCCAACTGTAACATCTCTGAGTAGGTGTGGCCCCAGGGATTAGTCAGTCTATGTAAAGCAGTAAGCCTTACCCCTCTCATTCCCATGTAGTTGTGGTGCTGGTAACTGTCCCCAGGCTTCTGGAACAAAAAGGTACCATCATATCCACTCAGGTAGCCAGCAAGACCAATCAGCATCTGAAGAGAGAGGAATTAACAAAAAGATAAAATGTTCAGAAAAGAGATTCCTCTGTCCCTTGTTCTCTCCAGCTGCATGCACAGCCTTCAGTTTCCCTTGACAACTGGCCATAGAAATGCCAGTGAGACATTTTGTCCTGCAGCTGCTGTAGAGTAAAAAGTCTTTTGTCTAAAGAGCTTGCTGCTTGAAACAAACCCTCTCTTGTGCCACAGCTAAATTCTTGGGAATAGTGCAGACTGGTCATTTAGGGAGGAAAACACTCCATAATTTGAAGGGTGGGGTCAGTGAGGGGCTCATACATGAAGCTTTCTTTCCTTCATTTGTTATGCAATGAAACATGTCAGTGCTCTGGGAAGGTCCTGGGCATTTATTCTCACTCCTGGGAGACTGGGCTTCTACCAAAAGAAGAGGCTCCAAATCACAATGAAGAGGGAGGAAAGTAGCCAAGGAGCTACACATGAGGAATAAGGGACAGAAATAAGAAAGAGAATGCAAAAACAGAGAGAGGCATTTCTCCGGGGAGGCAGGGAGGGAGGGAAGAAGGGAAGAAAGGAGAGAGCAACCCAGCTGCTCTGAGCTCCACAGGTCCAGACACAACTGCTTGTCTCTATTGTTAAAAAGCAGACAGGAAGAAGCAAGGCTTTTCTACCCTGTCCTAGGCAGAACTATTACAGAACTAACTGTAAATTGGGCTGCATGTCCTACCTCTCTACACACCCTCCCTGGAGGGGTTCTGTCCCCATTCCGCAGCCTAGGCAGTCATGCTTCCTTGGGTCAACCTGACAGACTGCTATCCTTAATTCTCCCTGCCCCAAGACCTGAAGATCTGAGTCTACAGTTAGGAAGAAAGGCTTTTGTGAATACTAAAACTAATCCATTTTGTCTTCTCAGGGAAAGTTGTTTTTAAAAGAGTAAAACCAACTTTAATTGGTAGAATTTCTAACTGTAAAATGCTAGGGGACCAGGTCAATATGTATACTGGGAATCAAGGAAAAAGTTTTTATAGATTAAGCTCCACTAAGTTATAGTTCCTTTATGTAGTATATTATACTTCTACTTTCCTTTATAAAATTGAAAAAAGTTCACATGGCATAAATCAATAACTTTAAAAGTAGTTTTAAATACATCTATAAGGTTGTATAATCATCACTATGCCATTCTAGACTATTTCATCATCCTGAGAAGAAACCTCCTTACATCAGAACATTCTTTTTCTATGTGGGCGAATACTATTCTGCTGAAAGGATCTGCATTTGTTTATCCATCCATCAGCTGATGGACGCTCTTCTCCATTTCTGAACCCAGAGAACCCCTAAAAACACCAAAGATTTTCTATCAAAGTACCTGGTCATAGAATTCTGAGGAACTTCTGAAGTCTAAGAACTAAGTCCATACTTAACACTTGGCTCCAGTTCTTAGAAGCCATCTGCCCAGGTAAGAGACTGTTAATTACCACACACTTACCTTTCCCAGAGGTGGGTGTACATCAAAGAAAAAGGTGTGGTTGATATAGTAACTTCCCATTTTTCCAAAGTGAGTCTCATCCCAACTAAAGGGAAAACATAAAAATTTAACAAACCATAGTTAAAGTTACAATTAACACCAAAGTTCATGAGTTTCAAGCATGTAATATGCAGATTGGCTTAAAAACAAAACTTTGGACATTGTGATTTAAGGAAAATCTTTAAAGCTGGCTATCAACCTAGATCTCGATAATGAAAAAAAGTTAACAAATATTACCCAGCAGTTACCACAAATTTAAATGAAATATAGTTGTCTTCTATATCTTGAGTTCCTATCAACTTATCTGAAAGCAGCAGTGTTTTCTAGTTACATGGGAAGGGGTTTGTTAGGCCATGTCTTCCCAGTCTGCTAACTTCTCACTCTGAGGCCATTGGGTCTTAGAATGCCCATTGCTACACCCCCAGGCTCCTGGTTCGAGAGCCTTTAATACAAGAGTATTACAGCAGAGCCAACTGTCCATCAACCTGCTGACTCAGATCTGCCTGACCTGTTATAATGATCAGCTGTCTACAGAGGCCAAATTTCCTCACTAAGAGTATTTCTAAACTCCATGCCTAGCCTGTTATTTTCCAAGTACATATGTGAATCTAACACTTAACTTTCCAACACAATGTGAAGTCTTCTTCTGCCATAACTACATCAGCCTTTTCATGCCCTACATGAAGGGTTTACAAGGCAGCCACACCATCCAGCAGAGCCTGGCTGTTTGATATTTTCATTCTATAGCTCAAAAGGCTGGCTTTCCAGTGACTCTGCCTCCATGAACAGTCATCACTTCCCGATCACATACTCGTGCTTTTTCCAAAGAATGTTCAGGTCTCATCTGTTATTTTGAGTTCACTGGGCCCAGTAGATGGACAGAAGACTAAAGCTACTGCATCAACCAAGGATGCAATGAGGTACTGACAGTAAGATGTTGATGTTAAAGAGAGAATTAACTTCAGGGTAGAGTAAATCAGACCACAGGAAGGCCAGCTATTCCCAGTCCATCAGCTACTAATGTCACAACATGACAAAACCATGCTCTTCATGTCCCTCCCAGGGGGTATTAGGGTTCACTTCAGATAACACAAGAACAGGAACTGTGTAGACTTAGAATTCTATCACACATACTGGACACTACATTTTCTGTTAGTCTTGAAGTCTATTTGGAGACAGACTAACAGAAGGACATGGGATTTTAATTTCAGAAGTTTCTCCAATAAAATCAGTAGTATCATATACATTTCCCTTTGGATTTTACTACTTGTGTTAGGAAAGGCAGTTCTCCATGGCTCTCTCAGGCTCTTACAGCCCTTGTAGAGTATGCCAAGAATACAAGGACCTGACTCATCTATAATCAGGCAATTCTCTTTGCTGTGCCATGAGAAATAATTTCATTTGTCACTGATTTAGGACTTTTCTTCTACTGGCAGCAGGTTAAATCCTTAGTTTGCAAACACGCTAAAACATCCAAGACCTTGTCAACATGGGGCACAGGCATAGGCTGATGGTATACTTAGCTTTCTGAACAATAAGGGATAAGGGCCCTCAGAAGCTCAGTAGATACAAGAGAAGACTTGCTGGGACCTGGTGGTGAATGTTCTTACCCAAGTGAAGCAGTGGGCAACAAGAACAGCACTGTCTGCAATGTTCCTCTTACTAAACAAGCTTAATAAAGAAATAGGGCAGCAGTAAGGACCCTATTCTGTTATTCCTTCCTTTATCCCCACAACCCCTGCATTGTTATGAGAGCAAACCTTGGGCCTGTGCACACCAAACAAGTGATTTCCCATTAACCTACACCTCCAGCCCATCACTACCCTGTTATTCAACATAGCCCACCGATTAAAATGAGAGCTAAATGTGAAATGCCCCTCATAGACCCATGTGTTTGAACAACTGGAAGTGCTGTTTGGGAGATTATGGAAGCTCTGGGACATGGGGCACAGCTGGTAGCTGTTTCTGCTTTTTGGTTTAGCACTCTGCTCCCTGGCCCACCAAGATGTAAGGTACTTTGGCCTTAGCCTCCCACCACTATGGAACAAGGCACTCTAATCATCATGATGGTTTGCATGTATCCTCTGAAACTATGAGCCCAATAAACCTCTTCCCTGATGTGGCTCCTCTCAGGTATTAGGTCACAACATTGAAGAAATTAATTACTACATTGTTAAGATCAGCATTCAGGTGGCTGAGAGAGAAGGGTAGCTAAAAACTTTGAGGCTAGTCTGGTCTACACAGCAAGACCTTGCCTCAAAAAGCAAAACAAAACAAAATAAATAAAAGCCACTGAAAGATGGTTGGGTAAGCTGTGCCGTGTTCACTGGCTCAGAGCACTAATGCCTGATCCCTCTCCATCATTATCTTCAGCTACTTCAAAGAGGAAGGCCACATGTCCCCAAGCACACTGAAGACCATACACATTCCTCTTAGTATGCTAGGTAACTCCAGGAAGGAAAGGGACCTACACTCAGAGCTCTCGTGCGTAGAGACCCTGGCTCCTCCTACCCAGTCTCAAGGGACCAGGCGGAGGGGGAATACAGGAATTACTGAAGGCACTAAGGATTGCAGTATGTATAGAGCTAAAAGACAAGGGGCCTCTAAGCCTAGGGGCTCACTGGACAGAAAAAAGAACCCTGGGGAAGGAGTGGTGCCAAGTCAGTGAGGAGGTGAGGGAAGTTTTCTACCTCTCTAGTCAGTATTTCCCACACCCCATAAAATGACATGTTCTCTGGGTGGTACCAGATATATTAAGCTCATTAGTTGAAGGGGGAAAGAAGCCAAGTTTAACTGACTAGGTTTGAGCCAAGTTTTCGGTAATTAAAGTACCTTGTGGGTTGGAATCATGGGGCCATTTCAGTGTACTTTTGTTGGGTACCCACTGCTGAATGTACAGATTGGATTGATGTCAGAAAGTGTCAAAGGAGAGTGTCTCCTTCAAAGGACTGATGTGTGCAGAAGTAGCCCTGTTCCCTCTCAGTGGCCCAGGGGAAACAAATCCCAGAAAAAGGAAAGGGAATTCAGCTTTAAAGAGAAAGCTATGGAGATGGTAAAGAGTTTTGTGAACAGGAGGACCTGAGCTTGGATTCCCAGAAACCATGTAAAAAAAGAAAAAAAAACCAGGTGTGGTAGAGTGCTCATTATCTCAGGACTGAGTAGGCAGAGATAGGAGGACACCTGGAGCCCATGGCCAGCCAGTCCCAATGCACAGAGAGCCCGCCCCTCTCTTTAAAACAAAAGCAAAAGCAAAAACAAGGTGGGGACAAAGGAAAACAGTTTCAACTTCTATGCACACTGCACACACACACACACGTACACATACATGCAAGGACACAGTCACCCCCGCCCCAGACATACACACAAATGCACAGGTGCACACACACCCAGTAAGAACTGCTAGAAGACCATGAAACTAGTCACCAGCATAACAGTGCCACCTGCTGAACACAGGTACTAAGTACAGTCTTCTAAAAGGCAGTTAGTAACCTCTTGTTGAAAGGGCACCTAAGCCCCAAAAGCCTCAGGGCTCTCTGGCCCTCCATTTCCACTTCAGAATAGGTTGCCTTGGAGTTTATAATTAAAAAAGATTCAACAAGTGGGAGTAGTCAAGAAGACAGTCAACCAGGAGGCTGCTCAGTTCCACATAAAGCAGCGGGTGCCCCCTTTGGGAGAAACTACTTCCTACTCCACTCTGAAGCACGGTCACTACTTCAGTGGGCCCAGGACTCGAAGAGTCCTGCTTTACACTGCCCATCCCTGGCCCTCTGAGGGTTAGGCTAAGTAAACAGCTGGTACCCACTGGATGGCAGCAGCCATTCTGAGCTAAGGACAGCTGTGCTCAACAGTTTTACGTCAACTTGGCACAAGCTAGTCATCTGAGAGGAGGGAGTCTCAGTTGAGACAATGTCACCATCAGATCAGGCTCCAGGCCAGCCTATAGGATATTTCTTAACTAGTGATTGATTGATGAGGGAGGACTAGGCCCACTGTGGATGGAGCCATCCCTGGGCTGGTGGTCCTGGGTTCTATAAGAAAGCTGCTGAGCAAACCATAAAGAAGGAGCAAGCCATATGGAGCAAGCTAGTAAGCAGCTCCCTCCATGCCCTCTGCATCAGCTCCTGTCTCCAGGTTCCTGCCCTGCTTGAGTTCCTGTCCTGACTTCCTTTGATGATGAACAGTGAAATGAAAGTGTGAGCCAAATAAACCATTTCTTCCCCAAGTTAGGTGGTTGTGATGTTTCATCACTTTCATCACAGCAACAATAACCCTGACTAAGATAACAACTCTGGCTGCCTGATTGCAATCAGAGCTGCAGAGCTGGAGGGTCTGACATAGCACAGAAGACTGTATAAGAGACTCCAGACACTCTCCAGGGAACTAGAAACTGTCTGCCCACTGATGGAGTAGTCCTGCTTACTCAAGATACCCATACATCATACAGGATATAGCCTGATATAACTACACTCAAGCCCTGCCTGTAAAGCACTGGGTGTGAAAATATATGTAATATCATGAGCTAACTGAGCCCATAGGTCTCTGAAGCAGAAGCCACCATGGTATCCCTGGCTGCTACAGAATATTTGTTTACACTGTAAAGATATGCCTCTGCCTAAGGCACCGTCTGATTGGTTTAATAAAGAGCTAAATGGCCAATAGCTAGGCAGGAGAGAATAGGTGGGATGTCTGAAGGCGGGGGTGGGGGGGCTGGGAGAGGAGTCTAGGCATGAGATTTCACCAGCAGATCTATAGCAAGTTGGATATGCCATACTAAGAAGAGGTAACCAAGCCAGGTGACAGAATGTAGATTTTAAAAGTATGGGTTAATTAAGTTATAAGAGCTAGTTTGGGAAAAGCCTAAGGTAAGGCTAAGCTTTCATAATTAATAATAAATTTTCAGGCCATTATGTGGGCTGGCAGTCCAAAGATAGTCTAACAAGAAAGCTTGCTACACCAGGCTCCTGCCAAAAGCTGGCCTACTCGCTTTGAGTAGTGAGTTATCCACACTGCAGAGGGCACTGGAGTTATCCACACTGCAGAGGGCACTGGAGCTATCCACACTGCAGAGGGCACTGGAGCTATCCACACTGCAGAGGGCACTGGAGCTATCCACACTGCAGAGGGCACTGGAGTTATCCGCACTGCAGAGGGCACTGGAGTTATCCGCACTGCAGAGGGCACTGGAGTTATCCACACTGCAGAGGGCACTGGAGTTATCCGCACTGCAGAGGGCACTGGAGTTATCCGCACTGCAGAGGGCACTGGAGTTATCCACACTGCAGAGGGCACTGGAGTTATCCACACTGCAGAGGGCACTGGAGTTATCCGCACTGCAGAGGGCACTGGAGTTATCCGCACTGCAGAGGGCACTGGAGTTATCCACACTGCAGAGGGCACTGGAGTTATCCACACTGCAGAGGGCACTGGAGTTATCCGCACTGCAGAGGGCACTGGAGTTATCCGCACTGCAGAGGGCACTGGAGTTATCCACACTGCAGAGGGCACTGGAGTTATCCGCACTGCAGAGGGCACTGGAGTTATCCACACTGCAGAGGGCACTGGAGTTATCCACACTGCAGAGGGCACTGGAGTTATCCGCACTGCAGAGGGCACTGGAGTTATCCGCACTGCAGAGGGCACTGGAGTTATCCGCACTGCAGAGGGCACTGGAGTTATCCGCACTGCAGAGGGCACTGGAGTTATCCGCACTGCAGAGGGCACTGGAGTTATCCGCACTGCAGAGGGCACTGGAGTTATCCACACTGCAGAGGGCACTGGAGTTATCCACACTGCAGAGGGCACTGGAGTTATCCGCACTGCAGAGGGCACTGGAGTTATCCGCACTGCAGAGGGCACTGGAGTTATCCGCACTGCAGAGGGCACTGGAGTTATCCACACTGCAGAGGGCACTGGAGTTATCCGCACTGCAGAGGGCACTGGAGTTATCCGCACTGCAGAGGGCACTGGAGTTATCCACACTGCAGAGGGCACTGGAGTTATCCACACTGCAGAGGGCACTGGAGTTATCCACACTGCAGAGGGCACTGGAGTTATCCGCACTGCAGAGGGCACTGGAGTTATCCACACTGCAGAGGGCACTGGAGTTATCCACACTGCAGAGGGCACTGGAGTTATCCACACTGCAGAGGGCACTGGAGTTATCCGCACTGCAGAGGGCACTGGAGTTATCCGCACTGCAGAGGGCACTGGAGTTATCCGCACTGCAGAGGGCACTGGAGTTATCCGCACTGCAGAGGGCACTGGAGTTATCCGCACTGCAGAGGGCACTGGAGTTATCCGCACTGCAGAGGGCACTGGAGTTATCCGCACTGCAGAGGGCACTGGAGTTATCCGCACTGCAGAGGGCACTGGAGTTATCCGCACTGCAGAGGGCACTGGAGTTATCCGCACTGCAGAGGGCACTGGAGCTATCCACACTGCAGAGGGCACTGGAGTTATCCGCACTGCAGAGGGCACTGGAGTTATCCGCACTGCAGAGGGCACTGGAGTTATCCGCACTGCAGAGGGCACTGGAGCTATCCACACTGCAGAGGGCACTGGAGTTATCCGCACTGCAGAGGGCACTGGAGTTATCCACACTGCAGAGGGCACTGGAGTTATCCGCACTGCAGAGGGCACTGGAGTTATCCACACTGCAGAGGGCACTGGAGTTATCCACACTGCAGAGGGCACTGGAGTTATCCGCACTGCAGAGGGCACTGGAGTTATCCGCACTGCAGAGGGCACTGGAGTTATCCGCACTGCAGAGGGCACTGGAGCTATCCACACTGCAGAGGGCACTGGAGTTATCCGCACTGCAGAGGGCACTGGAGTTATCCGCACTGCAGAGGGCACTGGCTGCCTGCCCCTAAGACACTAAGTGTGTCAGGACTCCACTGATGTCCTCATCAGTGCCTCACTGCTGCTGATACCGTCTCAAGTTCCAGAAGGGCTGCAGCTCTGGCTCAATGACTCTGGATAAGTCACTGTGGTCCTTACAATTAATGTCATTTCACCAGCTTTCCAAAACATCTAGTCTGACAGTGGTGCCCCTTTTTGTCACAATGGCCATCAAACAATGAGGCAACCGTCAAGGTAATAAACAAACAACCCATGCTCTCATCATCCATAAACAACTGATACTGTCAAGCACTGGACAGTTTCCTCAGAAACCAACTAGAAAGGGTTCTGACTGTCCCCACTGCTTTCTCCTGGCCTACACACTTAAAAACAGTCTGGTCCTTATGGGCTCATCCCCACAAAAATTCATCTCCTCTTGACTACCAACTGGGTAATTATCAGGAAAAAAAAAAAAAGGAGTAGAGCTACACAAAGCTGCTTAGGAAAGCTGAGGTCTCCATGCCCATGGTATGCCCTTCTTCTTAGAGACACTCTAGATCAGCAGAGAAGGATAAGGAAAGGTGACAATACTCTAATTCTAATTCTCATTTCGTCACCTGGATTGTCTTACTGGAGCCAAACAGCCTAAAACATAAACACAATGACACTTAGCTGAGTTCAAGTCTCTCCACAATGCCCACCTGTGTCAGAGAGAAGACATAATAGGTCTCTGTGAGTTTTCAACCAATGCCTGTGGTAAAAAACGTCTGGAAAAAAATAGGGTATGATGGGAGAAAAGGCAAACAGAAATTGGCAACATTCAGATGGGTCACCTACATTAAGTGGCAGCTGATGACAGTACCCCAACCTGTAGCTGGAAACAGAAAATCTCATGTGAATAGGAATGGACAGTCTTGAGCTACTCTGATGTGGCTGATGACATTGGTACCAACTCCTAGTTCCTAGTATGTGTGCTAATGCACAGATGGCACAACTTTCTGTTTATCTCACTCTATAGGGTGTATCATATACTCTTCTCTAAAGTACTAGGGACCTTAGTTATGCCCATATAGTCACTGAGGCTTCAACTACTCAATGATACTGCTTATAGGGTTTAACCAAACCAATGCAGTGGAGGCCTACATCTAATCAAATGATGATCCAAATAAAACTGAACCAAATGAATCTCTTTAGGTAAGATGTTAGTATATAGGGACTAGGCCACTGAATGTCTCTCCATTAGACATGGGAGGTGCACCGTTTTAATGAAGTGTTGTAATTATTGGCAATGATGCCAAAGAATCGATCTAAACTGCTATGCACAGGTCTTAATGGATGGCTTATTACACTTAGACTACATTCATGCTGTCTGAAATAAGACTTGCTGGTCCCTTGCCAGAGCTTACTCATAGGAGGCTGAATCCAGGACCTGGAAGGACCTAGCTGAGGTAAATACCAAAGGCTGGTATTATCTCGCTGCTTGGAGTCTAATTGACAATAGGCATAATTAAATACTGTATGAAACAAACTGAACTGATTTGGTCTCTGCCTCTGTCAGCCATGCTAGCCAGGGTAGCTAACCAGGATATTAACTAACATGAAACATCTGTTAGAAGCCCAGGCAGTACGAGACTGAGGGGTGATAAAGCCTGTTGGGAGAGAAGTCCTCCATCAATGTCTTGCACATTCATACATGGGCCAAGAATGTTCCTAGAATGCCCTGACAGCATTTTACCTGGGCCATTTCTCAGGGCTGTGATTGCAACAAGCAAACCTGAGAGATATGGCAATGTCTCCCACTAGAACATGGTGACTTACTGCTTGTGATAAAACAGAGTTCCCAAACTTGACATTCTTTGTTCCTTATGCAACCCACTGCAGGTGCAGTTATCTCTTTAGGCATGCGATATCATCCAGTGGGACTTGGCAGGAGGTGAGGGAACCTAACTCCAAAGATGCAGATATCCATTCTGCTTCCCGTGATGAAGTCCTCTGAGTCTAACCCAGCAGTTACATTTCCCAGCAGTCATGAAACAGCAGTGTTTCACAGCTGATCTATTACTTTTCTAGAAGAGTGGCCCCGAGAGTGTGCTTGCTTGCTTTCTTTTTGGTCAGTAAATTCCATTTGTGATACCTTCTATACTAAGTTTGTTTGGTGAGATAGAGAAAATAAACATGACTTCCAGCTAACGATCAAGTTACTCTGTGGGCTAGAAAATGAAACTTAACCCAGCCTCAAGCCAGCATCTATATCATACAAAATAAAGCCTTCTAGAAATTAATTCTATTCTCACAGGACCACACCAGACCTGTTGCCCGGAATCTCTGCCACCATCCCTTGATACCCAAATTGTCTTTACTCTATAGGATCAAAGACCCTTTTAGGGTTTTACTTTCTTTGAAAAGCAGGCCTTGGGAAATTATGTACTATGAATTTACTATTTTCTTAGGAATGTACTTATTTTCTGAGTGGCCCCATTTGAAAGTCAAGTAGTCTAAAAGACGTGAGAACCTCTTCTGCAAACCCTGAGACCTACTAGCCCCTATCAGAGCAAACTTATTCTTCTCAGAGACCTGATTTACAGAGACGCAACCCCAAGCCTCCCCTAAAACAACAGCAAAAACCCTCAGTTCCCACCACAGACTTATCGCGCCTCCGGTGAATCCCGCCCCCTTCGTGCCCTCAGGCCAATCAGAGGGAGGCGTCCCTCCCTCTCAGTTGCCATGGTGCCCGCCAAGTTCCCTTCTGCCACCTACCAGACGTGCGCCGGCTGATCTAGCCGGTGAAAGCGGGTGACGAAGGACAGCAGCGTCACCACAGCCAGCGTGGCCCACCGCCCTGCCGTCTCGAAGCGCCACGAGCTCCAAGCAGGCCGTTTAAGGCTCCGTGCTGCAACCTGGGGGACCGTGTCCCGGCCCACGGCCCTGGCAGCCTGCGGCGCGCAGCGGCCCCTCCGGGGCCGCAGCTCTGAACCCGCTAGGCCGCCGCCTATAGCCGGCGGCATCCTCCCCTTCCTGAGGATTACCCTCCGGGCGGGAGGCGCGCTGGGTCTCGTCCGCAGTCCCGTCAAGGAGTCATAGGAGGGCGTCTCGAGGTGCCCTGGGATTTGTAGTTCCCTCCGCTTGCCGCGGAGCGCCGGGCCCCGGGCTCTGGGCGGGGCGGGAAGTGTGGTGGCCGCCCGGGCCGCTAGGAAGCGGCCTGAGGCGTAGAGCATTGCGGGAGGCGGAGGGACGTTAAGGGCGGAGAGACCCGGGACGGCTCATGAACTACAACTCCCGGCAGCACGGGAGGCGGGGCGGGGCCAACACGACGGAGGGCAGCCCATCTAGTCCGACCCTCGCTCTCTGGACCCCGCTAGGCCTGTCATCTTCTGGGCCCGAGAGCTGACTTTCTTGGCTGGCCGACGTGCGAGATGCAAGCCGGGAAGGTCTGTGCCGCACCTCCGGGGTTGAGGGTCACTACTTAGAAATAGGGAGAACAGCTGGGGGTGACGGGAGGGTCCTGAGGGCGCGCCCCTTCGCCCGGCTCCACAACGACTCCCGGCGTGCTGTGCGCCGGGTCACTGTGCACCTGCGCACTGGCCGCCGAACGCTGAGGAGTCTGTCTGGTACAGAGTTGAGAACGCTAAGGGGCTTGGCGTTCTGGGTGGCGTCCAGGAGCAGCAACCTTGCCTGCTGCGTATATACTGAAGAGCTGAAAACCCCAGATCAACCCCCCCCCCAGCCTTAGCTCCTAGACACTGTGTTGTTTGTGTGCAGCATGCCTAGGGCTAAAGCTGAACAAAAAGGAACTCCAGAACCCCTAGCCTCCTAGATACTTGGTTCCTGGGGACTGTTTAACCGCAAAAGAAACTCCCCTATAGTCTCTAGGAAATTCAATTCTGGAGAATATTGGTACAGTAGGCCACCTGCAAACCATAGAAACCACAGAATGTTCCTTCCCAGCACCGACCTATGAGAATAAACATGACTTTGAAAAATTTCTTGATTTCTCCCCAAATGTCAATCAATCAGGAGCCCACCTGCTCCCTCCCTCCCCCCCCCCCACCTCCGCTGATGTAACCCTGCACTTTTTCCTTTAAAAAACATAGCAATAGACTAAGCGGACACTCCCTCTGGAACTTGCTAGACGAGGTCCCTCCCGAGGAAGGATAGAGCAATCAATAACCTTGTGCATTTGCACTGGTGGGTCTGTCTTTGGGGACCTTCGTGACCTGGGCACAACTTTCAAACGTTTGCAATTCCCTTGGTGCACCTCTCAGCCTGCCTGTTGGTCCAGGCATGCACCAAGGGGAAGATGTGACACTTTTCGTCCTTTAACAATCACTTGTCGTGGCTTCCCAGGTTTTTTAATTTTGTCTTTGTTTTGTTGGTTTGGTTTTAAGAAACGAAGTCTTGCTATATAGTCCACCTGGCTTTGAGGTCTAGACTCTCCTGCCTTTCAAGTCACTACTACAGCTTCCCTGGTTTAAATCGTCCACCCTAGACCACTGTATTTAAGCCATTGGTGGGACAGGGCTGAGAATCTGTTTATAGTGAGTCTCTCATGCTTAAAGTTTGAGGCCCGTTGTGTGGGAAGATGGTACAAACTGGCACTTAATCAGGCTAATGTTGTATAGATTTCCCACATACAGATGTGATTTTTCTGAATTTTTATCATAAAAGAAATGGTATAGAAACATCTGGCAGATCTCTGTGAGTTTGAGGCCAGCCTGGTCTACAGAGCGAGTTCTAGGATAGGCTCCAAAACAATACAGAGAAACCCTGCCTCAAAAAACAAACAAACAAACAAACAAAAACCAATCAAACAAAAACAGCTGGGGAGGTAATGTGGCTCTGAAGTAGCGCCTAGCATGGCCTGAATCTCCCACAACTGCAAAACTGCAAGTAAAGTTAAAATTGCCAGAATAATCAGAATGCGTTTTTGAGTTGGAAACAATTCTTCTAGGCGCACTGATTAAATGGACCTTCTACTTGGTAGTAAAATGTAACTGTGCAAGAGCAAATATTACTGGATGGTGCTTAGCTGTTATTTCTCTTCCCATGGTCTCCTTATCTGTGATCAACCTTGGTTCAAAGGAAACCTCGGTTACCTGGAAAAGTTCAGAGTCAAAGTTTTAAATGGCAAGCCTTTCCCAGTAGTATGATGAAATCTCACACAGCAGTAGGCAGTGAATTGTTCCTTTATCTAGTATATCCATGCTATCTACACTACCCACCTATTAGCCACTTAGTAGATATGTTAGTGGTTAGATAGTACAGTGCTTGTGTGAGTAACCCTTGTTTTACATACCATTGACCTCAAAGCTCAGGAGTAGTGATCTCAGCGATTTTATGATAGAAGTTGTTGTAAATTATTAAAATTCCATTTCGTTTTTATTGGTAATCTTTTATGGTGTCTATTTTTTTTTCAATCAAACCTTAGGTATGTATGTTTGTGTGTATGTAATGGTTGGTATCAGTTTGACAGGATCTAGACATAGGAGACCAGCCTTCAGACACACTTGGGAGAGAGTTTCTAAGTTAGGCTAACCTCTGGTCATATCTGTAAAGGGTTATCTTTATCAGATTAATTGATACGGGAAGGTGACACACTGGGTTGGATCTGGGCCTATAGAAAGGGGAAGTTAGCTGAGCAACATCACACATTCATTGTTCTGTTTCCAGCTGTGACTAGGGTGGTACCAGCTGTTTCAGGCTACTGTCTTAATTCATCTACCCCCCCCATGATGGACTGTATCTTGAATTATAAACCAAAATAAGCCGTTTTTCTTTAGGCTACCTTTTTTCATGGTATTTTATCATAGCAACAGGAAAAGAAACATATAAGGTAATGTATAAGAAAAAAATAGACACAGGATTTGGGTAGTACACGGTTTCAGGCATCCCCTGGCAGTCTTTGAAGGTATAACCTGCAATATAAGGCTATGCCATATAGTTACCACTAGATAAGAACAAAAATTACCTAAGAGATTTGGTTTCCTCCTTAAGAGCCATAAGGAGAATAGTAGCAACGACCCTGACTTCGGTCACCCTTGGTGCAGTCGGTATATAACATGTTTGCCACTAATCATCTTTGCAGGGCCATTGGTACTGTGAAACCCAGACAGGGCCCTTGTGAATCACCATTTTGCAACCTCACCTTTGTGGCAAATGGGCATATCTGCTATATTTGGAGCCTGTCCTGGAACTAGCTCTTACAGATCAGGCTGGTCTTGAACTCACAGAGATCCGCTTGGATCTGCCTCTGTCTCCCAAGTCCTCGAATTAAAGGCGTTCGCCAGTGCCCAGCTCCTGGCACCGCCCAGCTCCTGCCACCTATTCTTATGAAGCCATCTGGAAGTGGAGAGCTCCGAGGTGGTAGCAAAGCATCAATAAATAAGAAGCTGCTCCCTGCCGGGGATGAAAGGAGCTGCTGTCATCGTTTTAGGGCAGCCTTTTGTTTTATAAGCAGAGGAGCTAAAGAACAGAGAAAGCAGGGATCCGGCTCACTGCTTCCTGAACCAGGTCTGCCCACTTTGAGCCCATTTCACCAGAGACTTTATGTCAGAGCCACTCTATACTCTATGCCCGAGTGTCAAACTTGCCCCAACCAAGAATAAAAGGACCCTCCCACAAGGTGAAAAGGACTCCTGACCAGAGTCCAGGATCCTCTGGTGCCTGTTTAGCCCGCTTTCCCATTGGCTGCTGGGACCCACCCCTTTGGGTTCCTCCCCCTGCCTTGCAGCTCTCTGAGAGACTTTCCCTTGGGAGACAACAGCACTATGACTGACAAGGTAAGGCTAGCACTTGAAAGCTGCTTCCTCTAGAGCCACACTTGTACCTCAGGAACTCAGGGCAGCACTAAGACCTTGACAGCCTGAGCTGTCAAGATGCGTGCCCGAGTAAGGAGCCCCGGTAGGATGGGAGGAAATGGAGCAGAAATGGGGTTTGGGCCTTTCGCGTGGAGACTGGTGCCAGCTTCCAGCAGGCCCCTATGGCCGGAAACCCAAGCCTAAGTTAATGTCCACCCTCATCCTCTCTCTCCTCAGCCTGTCCTCTATTCCTATTTCCGAAGCTCCTGTTCATGGAGAGTTCGAATAGGTAAGAGCTTAGCTTCTGGAGGGGTGGGGGAGGGGTGGGACCGAGGGCTTCACCCACACACATACACCTCCCGCCAACCAGCGTCCCTGTTCTCCTGTGGTCTCTATCTCTGCACGGCACTTTCACACGGAGAGTCCAACAAGAAGACAGTGGGAAGAAGGGGGTGTTTTTCCCCTCCATGATGCTCCCTCTGTCCCACTGCACTCCAAGGCCCCTTAGCAACCATGCCCAGAGTAGGTTTGCAACATCGAGAGGTCCCTGGTAACCGGCAGCGGAGCAGCTGGCCTCCCTCTGTTCTTATTTGATCTGGCTAATCAAACAGAACTGTTTGGAGTTCACCACAGACTTCAGGAGAGCAGGAACTAGAGCTCTCGCTCGGCCTTAGGCTCCGTCTGACCCCTCACTCCTCCAGTGAGCACAACTGTTGGCAAAGGTCACTGTCGTAGCACTGTGTAAAAAACTCTGTGCCCAGCGCTTTTGTGCGCTTGATTCCTCCTCGATGGTCATAGGAGAGAGGGACTGTTAGTGTCCCCATTGTGCAAATGAGACAAGACACAAAGGTTAAGTCACTCGCCCTCAGTCCTGCAGCCGCTAAGAGGAGCACCGTAGTCTGGCTCAAGGCCATGCTCACTTGCTTTCATTTGGCACCAGCAATGGAACAAAGAGCCTTGACCACGCTAAGCTCTCACCCTTCCAGGAAGTGAGACCCTTAGCCCTATCCCACACTTGCAGCTACTACAGTGCTGCTTGGAGTGCTCACTTGCGAAACTGAGGCAGAGAAACTCATTACTTGCCCAAGGCCATATACTTGACCATCGAATGTGGTAGGATCTGCACCCAGGCAGCTGGGTCTCCAGTCTTGCCCTAACTGCAGAGCCATCATCGGTGACTGTCACCAATCCACAGTCCCGGATTCCAGAGACTCTACCATGGCTGAGCCAAAGCAGGATGAGTGCTGTCTTTGTAGAGCCTCTCTCAGACTAAATTGATTTCACTCCAAAGTAGAGCTGACCAGCAGGGAGGAGGCTCCTGGCGTTGCCCTGGGAGGGATGTCTTTGAGAGTCTGGCCAGAAGTCATCCCCTAACTCCGCTCTGGTCTCTCCTAGCTCTGGCACTGAAAGGCATTGACTATGAGACAATCCCCATCAACCTCGTAAAGGATGGGGGGCAACAGGTACGGAAGCTATCCCAGGCCCACAGTATGAGAATTGAACCTTGAAGAGGTATCAGATGGAACACTGGCTGCGTCCTGGAGGGAAACCTGTATTTCGTGGTTCCTGTAACCTAGGAGGCTGCTGCTGGTTCTCCTGGGCAGCAGTGGGAGCCACAGGAAGGGCTCAGGATATTGAGATCAGTGCCTGACTTTATGAGGATAGGTGATAAAGGGACCTTTCCCTGTACTAGGCCTTCTCAATGGATGACTGCGGTAGGACCTGACGTTGTAGGCACATTAAAGGGTACAGGAAGAAAGTGGGCGGTGGTGGCACATTTCTTTACAGTACTCGGGAGGCCGAGGCAGCTAGATCTCTGAGTTCCAGGATAGGCAGGGTTACACAGAAAAACCCTATCTCAAGGAGGGGGTGGGGGCTTGACAGGTGGATCCCCGGAGATTAGGCTGGCCTTAGGAGCCACGTTCTTCTCCAAGGATGAGAAGTATGGATTGATGTAGGCCTACGGTGTTCCTACTTGCTCAGTCCTGCTTTAGGCAAGTCAAGCTAGGACACCTAGACCACCAAGGCTTTGTCTCCACAGTTCTCTGAGGAATTTCAGACCCTGAATCCCATGAAGCAAGTGCCAACCCTGAAGATTGATGGAATCACCATTGGCCAATCAGTGAGTAGAGAGAGCTCGGGAGTGGCAGGGCTGTGAATGAGAGGACCTGACATCTCTTCCTAACCCACAAGTGAATAAACTGCAAGCATAATAGGGTCTCAGTGCGTATATGGTAGAGGGAAAGAGAGGAAGGCTGAGCATGTGGAGAACCAAGTTCAGCAAGGTCCCCAAAGGACCTTTACCGTGCTTCAGTTATGGCGAAGGAGATAGCGGTACCATTGGGAAAAGGTCATTTGCTGGCCTCTGCCCTGTTGGGGTCCAAGGATCCCAAGCCCTCTCCCTGCCTCATGTTCCCTCTGGACAGCTGGCCATTGTGGAGTACCTGGAAGAGACTCGGCCCACCCCACGTCTCCTGCCTCAAGACCCAAAGAAAAAAGCCATTGTGCGCATGATTTCTGACCTCATCGCTAGTGGCATCCAGCCCCTTCAGGTTAGGCACTACTACATCTGCACTCTTGTCCACCCCTCACTCATCCCTTCATATTCACTGTGATTGGGCCACGGTGAGGTGGGTGAGGGAGGCAGGCGTGGGCAGGAATCCCAGGAGTCTGCCCCCACGCCTAGGAGCAGAGACGTGTGAGGTGGGGAAAGAGGCAGGGCGGCAGGCCTGGGTACAGCCTCCAGCTCCGTGCTGGGAAGCGCCCGCTCATCTTGTCTGTGCCATTATACCCTGCTTTACCGTGCTTCCTAGATAACTGCATTTTAGGTTTTCCTTTGCTTGTTACAAATTGAAGGGTTATGCAGCCCTTCATTAAGCAGGTCTGTCGGCGTCATTTTTCTAGTGATTTTTCATCATTAGTAATAAATTATTTTAAAATTAAGATACATCCGTTTTCAGACATAGTGACTCTATATATTCAGTAGATCAGCACAATGTAAACAGCACTTTTCATAACCACTGAGAAACCATGAAAGTCTGTGTAAATTGCTTTATTGCTATACCTGCTGTTTCCCTTAGTCTAGACCTAAATCCCCAATTCCACAATATGCCAATATTGGGATTCTTAAAAGGTTTTAATTTTGTTTTTAAAGTAAGTTTTCACCTGTAAAACAGAAAGGCAAGTATTAAAACCATTTATCCGTGCCAGCTTCTCTTCGTAAGATAATGGCTCTTAAAAAAAAAAAAGGAGCAGTCACTTTTCAGGGCGACACAGCTAAGTAGTATCAGCAGGGACCAAGCTTAGACCTGTGCCACCACTCCTGTGACACCTTGCTGTTGCTAACAATGGGGATTGCACCTTAGTCATAATCCCTGGAAGCCAGTCCAACACGCCCACACACCTGCCTCACCCCACTCCAAAGTTGCCATATCCCTCGGGTCTGTCCTGTCCCTGTCCATCTGTCTATCCGTCTGTCTATCCGTCTGTCTGCCCATGCCCCAGCCCTCATCCCCAGTACCACACAGCCTCTTTTGAGGAGACCAAGTAGGGGAGAGTGTTCGGTGTGAGAGACATAGGCCTTGGCTTGTGGCCACGTCAGCCATGCCATCATCCTATGCCCCTGTTCTTGTACATTGCTACCAAAAGTCACGTGGCTTTCAGGATACTTGGGACAACTGAGGTAGCCTAAGAAGGTGGCTACTTATAACTTCAGAGACCTGATGGAAGGAAGGTTCTGAATAGCCCAGAGGCGAGTGGGACAGGTAAACAGCTAGAACAGATGGACACCGAGCTTCCATGCAGAGGCTTGACAGAGGGACAAGCCTCAAGGGGACAGACTCAAGCTGGCTTCCAGAGCAATCATTTCTTTTTTTTCTCTTGAGCTGTGCAGAACCTGTCTGTCCTGAAGCAAGTGGGACAGGAGAACCAGCTGCCTTGGGCACAGGGGGCCATTACTTCTGGCTTTAATGGTGAGTCCCTGCTCTCAGAGAAATGACCCTCACACAGGTGGCTCTGGGCATGTGAACCAGCTTCGGAGGCTGCTCTGGTCTTGAGAGTGGGATGTCTGAGAGGACCATGGGCAGGAAGGTAGTGGACTGGGCAGGTCCCCAAGGATGGCTTTAAGTTCCAGAACTTCTGTGAACCCCAGACCTAGGGGCCGATGGTCCCACAGTGTTTGTTGGTGGCCCAACCTCTATTTCACTGACTGCCTGTCTTCAGAATGCTAGGCTGTCTGTGAGAGCTGTTGCCTTGGCCAGCTGCACGTCTTATCTATTCTGAGAATAGACTGAGAAGCCATGGGAAACATTATTCTTAGTCCTGGCTGTCATTCCCTACACCAGACTCTGCCCTAGACCCCAGCCTATCGCTGAAATGTCCATCTATTTCATAGCTATGGAGAGGCCGCAGTGTAACCCTGGAGAGGATATAACTATTACCCATATGACCTCCCCACAGCTCTGGAGCAGATTCTGCAAAGCACAGCAGGGAAGTACTGTGTAGGGGATGAGGTAAGTGTCCTCAGACCTGCCCACTGTGGCCTTCATGCTGACTTCAGGCTGTCATTCTCCCACTTAGACTCAGTCATCTCCTTATCCTAAGGAGATACCTGAAGGGAGACCTGGGACCAGCCTCTTGGTACAAACCTCTGCTCTAGGCAGGTCGAGTGTGGAAACACCTCAGCTCACTCCTATACTGCCTCTAGAGCACTGGTTCTCAACCTGTGGGTAGTGAACCCTTTGGGGGGTCAGTTAACCCTTTCACAAGTTCACGTGTCAGATATCCTTCACGATTCTGAACAGTAGCAACATTACAGATCTGAAGTAGCAATGGAATAATGTTATGGTTGGGGTCGCCACGACATGAGGAACTGTGTTAAAGAGGCGGAGCATGAAGAAGGTTGAGAACCATTGCACTAGAGGTAATGTGAGGTATCCAGGCCAGAAGAGCACACTCCTGAGTCCGTGAAGTGGTCCAGGCATCAGCTGGGTTAGACTAAAGGCCTCCCTTCCTTTGCAACCAGGAGACTGTAGGATTAAGGAGCCCTTGGCAACTGCAGACTAAGGCACTGGGCCTGTGGTAGTCTGGTTCCATGCTTCCTTCTCTGCTAGGAGTCCTCACTAAGTCTCTAGTGGTGGCAGCTTCAGCGAGTGCTGACCACCACCAACGCAGTCAGGCCTCCTCTAGCTACCACAGGGTTGGTTGTCAGGGAAACCAGAGCATGGCATGGGAGAAATGCTACAGCTCCAGGGGACAGGGACAGCTCCAGAGGAGACAGCGAGGGCATGATAAGGACGTTGGGAAAAAATGGAAGCAGACAAGAAGTTGGATTGGTAACCCTGGTTTGGTCAGCAGGGGACACAGCTAGTCTTGCCTGAGAGCCTGGGGTGATTATCCTTGCACCAGCAGGGGACACAGCTAGTCTTGCCTGAGAGCCTGGGGTGATTATCCTTGCACCAGCAGGGGATACAGCTAGTCTTGCCTGAGAGCCTGGGGTGATTATCCTTGCACCAGCAGGGGACACAGCTAGTCTTGCCTGAGAGCCTGGGGTGATTATCCTTGCACCAACTGCCCTGGCCTTCTTTCAGGTATCCATGGCTGATGTGTGCTTAGTGCCCCAGGTGGCAAATGCTGAAAGGTAAGACAAAGCACTGCCACCTTCCTTCATGTCCCCCTCCCGTCAGGGCCTCCACATCCACTACGGAGATAACATCTCATGTGAACCCTTCTTTAGCTGCCAGGGAGCCACTGTACCAGGCCACACCAGGTGCTCTGGCTTAGCATAGACATGGCAGAAGGATCACCGAAATGTCTCTACCATGCCCACTGTAGCCTGAGTGGTCCTTTATAGACAGCCCTTGCTCCAGGGAGGAGGTGGCTTATCTAAGGGAAACACCCCTAAGAATACCTGCTCCCTGTACCCAAATGTGGAGTGTCTGCTTAGAAGTGAGCTCTGTGAGTTCCCTCCATCGGCCTGCTGGGCAGCGTCATCCTTGCTATTTAGGATACAGACATGTGCAGTGCATTCCCTCCACTACGAAGCTAGTAACGTGGGTGACAGGACAGTCTACACAAATGCCTAACCCTGGGGTTGACAGCAGTCTTTGCTTAGAGAAGAACAGAAGGTGAATGATGGCAGACGATGGCACTCCACACCCACCCAAAGCTTCCTAGAGAATTAGGCACCCCAGGCGGCAGGGCTGCTTTCTAGCCTTGCATGGCAACCTCTGAACCACATCCAGTCCTGCCTCTGCTTCCCCCACTGCCCATGGCAGTGTCTTTGAAAACCTTGGCTTACAAATGTTTCTCTGCCACAGGTTCAAGGTGGACCTCAGCCACTACCCTACCATCAGTCACATCAACAAAACCCTGCTGGCCTTAGAGGCTTTCCAAGTGTCTCACCCCTGTCGACAGCCAGATACACCTGCCGAGCTGAGGGCATAGCTCCCAAACCATGCCCCATTGGTACAGGGAAGGGAATCGGGCTCAGATACTGGGTAAGCTGGACAGGCTCAGAAATGAGTGAATTGTAGCAGAGGACTTAAACTTGACCCTTTCCCACAGGAAGTAGCAGAAACTCTTGGAAGTCCGTGACATTCTTTTGAGGCCCCCAGGATTAGTTTTCTCTAGAGAAATGAAATTAGTAGGATATATCTCCCATCAACTTCATCTTGCCTTAATCCTCTCATCTGCCATGTTAGGATTGAGCGTGGGCAGACACATGACTGCTATAATGGCTAATGCTGTCAGCTTGAAAAAAACCTAGTCACCTGGATGAAGGGCCTTTAGGAATGTCTGTGGGGGGTTATATTGGGAGACCATCATGAGTGATAGTGGAACCCTGGGATGGTGGAGGATCCCCTGGGATGGTGGAGGATCCCCTGGGATGGCGGAGGATCCCCTAGGTAGAAGATTCCAGAGCCTGTAAAAGCAGAGAAAGAGCTGAGCACTGTTGCGTATATATCCGTTGCTGCTTTCTCCTGACTGGATGCAGTGTGATCAGCCACTCCCACTGATGCTGTGACTTCCCTGCCATTGTGGATTGTAACCTGGAACTATGAGTGAAAATAAAACCTTTTGTCCTTTATGCCGCGTTTGTCAGGGTATTTTATCACAGCAACAGAGAAGAAACCAAGACCCCTGCTGTCTGTGGTAGGGCAGCCATGAAGATGACATAAAGATGCCGGTTTAAAATGCCTGGCAGATTTACCTAGGTGCCACAGGGAAGCCTGAACTCCTCCTTATCTGCTCTTATTAAACGTGACTCCAGAAAGCATTTACACAGAGTTTAGTCATTAGTTGAAGGCAGGCCTCCAGTGCATCCCATAGGACTGAGCCGGGTCCCAGAAGATGAACTTTCCCACTCACCGGAAACCATGTCTGGACACTGTAGTTAGAGTCTTGTTGGCCTTTTGTTCTTCCTATGGCAAGCTTGGCTCCTGACACCAAAGGCAAGGAAGAGAAGTAAACACAGCCTGCTGGACAGAACTGGACTAGATCCAGGGAGGGAAGAGTTAACTAGCACCAAGAGTGTCTAGTGACCAGCTGAGTTCCCAGAGCAAAGCATCGCTGTGTCGACTGCAGTGGCAATCAAAATGACCTTTTGTGATCCAAACCTGCTATTTAACTTCTGCACTGCTGAGGTTAAACAGGGAACTGAGGTCTGTGTGTCTTGTCTGAGTAGAAGCAATTGTTCTCAATTTCCAGGGTACTCCCTTCCTCATTCTGTTCCCCCTTTGTGGCCTCTCCTCTTAGATTCCATGGGCTCTGAGCTCCGGGATGACCATTCTTTCTCCCAAGACAGCATTTGTCTCAACAAAGCCAGAGAGAAGTAAAGGAAGGTAGATATGGCAATGAGGGAGATTATTCTGCCATGTGGAACCTTTTCCTAAATTGTTCTAGATGTGAATGAGTAAGACCTACTTGGTCTCTCCATAAGAAACTTGAATAGCCAAGCACTAATCTAAACCAGAAACATGGGTCACTCATTTTTAAAAATAACTTATTTTTTTTTATGTGCACTAGTATTTTGTCAGCATGTATGTCTATATGTGAATGTTGGATCCCCTGGAACTGGAATTACAGACAGTTGTGAGTGACCTTGTGGGTGCTTGGCATTGAACCCTGGTCCTCTGGAAGAACAGCCAGTGCTCTTAACTGCTAAACTATCAATCCAGCCCCTGGACTGCTCATTCTCAATCAAGCCATGAACCATACATGTATGCTAAGTTGGAACAGGTCCTTCCCCTTTGCCCTGTAATTCATCTTTGGAGGTCCTAGAAGATCGTAAAAGTGCAAATGTTTCCCCTAGATGTGTATACTTTCTCCAGCAGACAGGCCAGATGGCTACAATGCTTAGTGATAATTATGTTTTAAACAGTTTTTTTTTTAAACTACCTCTCTTCCAACTCATCAAATAAATTCTTACATTCAAGGGTGATATCTATCAACAACACAAGACTATCTTTGTGTTTGTACCTCTATAACAGCATACCTGAGACTGGATAATTTATAAAGATTAGAAATTTATTTTCTCTCAATTCTGGAGGACAGGAAATCCAAGATGAAGGTGGTTCTCTATCAGGTGAAGGCTACTGATTGCAAGACAATGCCGTTTGATGCCATATCCCCGGCAGAGAGGAACAAAAAAGATCCAAAGTCGTTCCTTCCTATTTGCTTTATAAAATACTAAACCCTATTTACTAAGGCAGAGCCTTTTAATGTCTAGTCATCTCCTAAAGGCCTCACCTCTTAAAATGATTGACTGGAGATTACATCTCTCTGTGAATTTTGGAGTTGTCACAAACATTAAAATCACATCAATGACCATCACATTTGTAAGGGGCATTTCTCAAGAGGGGCTTCTCTCAAAATACCACATGGTTTTAGTCCTTCATTTCCATCTCATTAGTCAGATTTGTGAAAACAGCAGACACTTGGTTCTGGTGTGCCTGGGACCACAGAAGGGCCCCATACAGCTCCTGGGGCCACAGAAGGGCCCCATACAGCCACAGTAGAGGAACACATTATCTGAGAGGTCCAACACTGGATCATGTGAGGAAGGTGTTCCAATCCCATGGGAGCAATGAGTCTCAGCAAATATTTCAGGAGGAGTAAAGCAAGCAGGAAAAGTTTGAAAATAAACCAAATAATAGCCCAGTCCCCAGTACTGGACATGGAACATGAAAAAAAATACAAAATTCCCCCCCAAAAATTTATATAGCCATTATAGGAAGAGGTAAATGTACTGAGTAAACAGGTGGATACACACTTATAAGATAATCATTATATTCCAATATAACACTCACCTAGCTCTTGGTTCCAAGATCAGGCACCATTCTGATTCGTAATACTCTTAAGATGCCAAAAGCTGCAATTCGTGAGCTGCCATATGACAGGTGTGAACTATTTTAAAAGTTAAAATAATTTTAAACTTGAAGCTATAAACCTAATTTCCCCAAACCTAGCTCCCATTTCGTGATGCTCTGCCATGAATGAATTTTAACATTTTGAAAAATTCATATGTATGAGTGTTTTGTCTGCACATATGCATGTGCACCATGTGCATGCCCGGTGCTTTAAGAGGTCAGAGGAAGACATGGATCCTTCCGGGCAGGAATAGCATGCTGTGCCAGAAACTGAACCCAGGTGATCCACAAGACCAACTAGTGCTCAATCACTTGCATGTCTCTCCCAGCCCAAAGATCGCAAATTTTATTATTATTTTGTGTGCATGGGTGTTTTTGTTACATGTATGTCTGGGTACTGTGTGTATACAATACCACTGGAGGCCAAAAAGAATATGTCTTCTGGAACTGGAGTTATAGATGGTGGTGAACCACCATGGGGTCCTGGGAACTGAACATGATCCTCTACAAGAGCAGCAAGTACTCTTGATGCCTGAACCATCTTTCCATCACCCCCCCTGACAATAATTTACATCATTCATTCATCTTAGTCTCAATTTTTAAAAAAAATTTATAATCTTAGTAGATTATGGATGAACTCACAAGGGGTTTTCTTAAGCTGAAGAGAAAAGATGAAGTTTCAGATGATTATCAGTCAGGCTTATTAAGAGAGAACTCAAAATGTTAGGTGCACAGTGAAAAAGTTTATTTATGACAGGTTTCAAATCTTGGAAAAGAAGACAAAAAATGCAAAAAAGCATTTCACAGAACTGTCACATAATATAAAAACACCAGAACTCAGCTGTTTAACCTTGGCTCAGGATCCACCCATTTATCACAGCAACACATTCAGTGCCATGAGGTGAAAATATACAGACTGACAAAAGAAAAACCACTCAGTAGAATGAAGAACTAAGTCACAATTGGTACAGAGTTCTTAATGTAGAAATCACACATGATGACAGCATTTCTCGTGACAGGGTAACACGTAAAACAAGTTGACTATAATAGCTGATTAGTTTGGATTTTCTTTCTTTCTTTCTTTCTTTTTTTTTTTTTTGAAGAAAATAAGACTAGCAAGACTGTGATATAGTTTCCCTCCCAGGCCTTTGGTGACCACGGCAGCAGCATATGATACGCAGCAGCAAGGAAAGAAAACACAATCACCTTTAAACCACTGATGGATCTGGATGATGGCTCCAAAGTGGCCCTTTGGACACATAAGCAAATGGATCATGGTTAGGAAATCTCCAAGCACCTCCTGGATTCCCATTACACTTATCCACTCTGCTCTCCAGAGGCGATCACTCTCTTACAGAGCATTTGCAAATGCTTCTTCATTACAAAGCATCAAGCATTTCTTCCGTGAGTTTCAGAACACTTCCCATTATTAAAGGAACATGGATATACCAAAGTCATTCATCATGGGATTGCTTTTTCCAGACTGGATTGTTCTTTAACATGGCTAAATGGAAATAACCCAGACTAATTAAATGAAACCTAATTCACTTATGGGACAATAATCTCAGAACCGGACACAAGATGTACTTGTAACATAAAACGTCTTAATAAAATGAACTGCTTAGGATATGAGAGAAGGAATTAAGATAATGTTTCCTAGATGAGTCCTGGCCTGAACCTAAGAATGAACAATGACAACAGCAAGGAGACATTACAGACTAGGCATTTCAACCCTGAGTGATGGTGAGTTTAGGAGGACCCCCTTAACTGACAGTGAATTAAGGGTTCTTCTGTAATACTATAATACACCATTGCAACTCCAAACTTCAGAACCCTTCATAATCCTCTGTCAGAACTTCAGAAAATATACTCTGTTTCCATGAGCCATTTCACATACACAATTTTACCCCCACATAAGTCAAAAAGCTACTCGATTAAAATGACAAGAAACTGAACTTGCATAAAGCGGTGTGTATTTCTAGGTCTCTGGGGCACCATTTTTATTGTAGCTTAGAATGGAGAGCCATGCCTGTGTTCCAAATGCTAACAATCGGATCATGGGTTCAAACCAGGGACCAGCCCTACGATTCCACAGCCAGTGTCCTGTCTATACTTTGTTCATGAGGAATGACTATTTGTAAGTGAGCCAAATTATCAATACCCTATCAGGCTTGTTAGCATTGATTGTATTTCCTTAGCGTTGAGACCATGGTTCAAACAGAGGCTCTGGTTGACCCTCTTGATCCAGGAAGGCAATGGTGCGTCTAGAGGGGACAGTGATGCTTATGATTTTGGATCACAGTTCACCCTAGATAACTGGATGTTCTCTGGGAATTCCCACAGGTACTATACAAGTTATATACAAAGCAAAAGGCTGTCAGTGACCAGCGTCAGATCCAAGACGTTCTTGCATGAGTGCCCCCCCAACACCCAAATACCACCAAGAACAAAGAGTGGAAACCAGATACCCAGCTTAGGACTGTTCTGATGCTCATTTTCTATTCCCCAAAGGACTGTGATAGCTCCCTGAGCACATGCACACAGTGGCTACCGTGACTTGCTTTTTACAGAATACATCTCTTAACCAAGGACCCACACAACAGCAGGGACACCAATTTCCTTCCTCAGACGAAAGCTTACCTTTTCAAACAGTAAGACTCTGAGGGGACCCATACTGCCCTTTTCCCAAAGTGTAGGCATTCTACACTTCTGCTCATGGAAAAAGTAGGGACAGAGGTCAATGTGGATGCTCCAAATAGAAGCCCTAATAGAGAAGTGTGGTTCGAGGTGGTGATGCTGTCAGCCCGCAGGAGGCCTGCTTGCTCACATGGCTGTAGACTTTGTGGTGGTGGACAAAGTGCATCTGAATTATGCCTCTGGGGACACATCCACGACTGTGGCTTCAGCGCCACAAGTGCAATAGACTCTTGGCCTTCTCTCATCCTGTCTCTCTTAAGCCTCAAAGGATGGAGACAGGAAACCAATCCTCAGGTCATAGTTACAGTTAGCAGAGGAGACTGCAGCTAGATGACCCTGTTGATGGATGGCAAAGTGGGCTGGAGGATTCTCCACTGAGCACAAGGAGAACCAGTAAGGCTTCTGGCTTACAAAACAGTTCCAATGAGCAAAGGGCCACCAAAGCACTAAATGAATTCTGGGACATACCCGATATTGTGTTCACTCCCCCCTCCTCTGTTCTATCCTGTTTTTCACCATTTGCTGTCCATTTAAAGGCAGTTCTGAAGCAGCACAAAGCTCTTTAATTTGTGCCTCTGTCTACTAAAATAATCTTCTACATAAATAATAGGGTCATTCAATCCCACATCTCAGAAGCACAGACTCTGATGTTGAAGGAACACCTCTGGCAGAATGCTCCTTAAACAGAAGAATACAATCACAAGCTTTAGCATTTGGATTTTGCCCAGTTCTTTCAAAGAAGGAACTGAGTAAGACTCATCAAAATCAAAATGTATATATTATAAACTCCACAATAATACCTAATCCCATGAATATAAAACAGTTACAGATTAACTTGTTTGTATTCATATAATGGGACAATATACACGTCTTTAAAGGTCTATTTTTCCTAGATACCAAATAAAATATTTTTAAAGTGCATGAATCCATCCACAAGGAAAATAACTAGGAAGAGTCTACTTTCAAGCTGCCACCTATTTCCATGTGTCATCTGAAGAGTGCATTTGCATGTGAGCGTCCTGAGGGTGTGTCAGCAAGCGACAGATGAGAGGGGAGGCTTTTGATGCAGCTACATAGTCACCTTCACACTGACACTTAGAGAAGAAAGCCACTGAGGTTCAGTCAGAAGTAAGGGACTTTAGCTAGCTGTCTGAAAGATGGAGGCCAACCTCTGTGAAGACCTCTTAGGCAGCCTGTGTCAAGGGAACTAGACAGTACACTCTGTTTAAAAACTGGCAGTTTGTAATTTAAGAATACATGTGGGATTTAAGTGTATGCTTTTTTGTTTGCGGAAATTTTTTTTAAATAAGATGATGGGAGAAATAGCATATTAAAAGTCTTGTCTCTTAACAAAGTAGCAAAATTAGACACACTGAAGGACTTTAAGAACCCAGCCACTTTTGTGTAAAGAATCTCAACCTGCCCTCTTACAAAATCCTTTCTTTCACCCAATAGTTTTATTTGTGCTTTAGAAAGCAGGGTGAGGATAAAAGCAGACAATTTATCTCATTGTTTGGTTGTTGCAACATGAACAGGGAGTGACCAAGGAAGTGGCACTTCTTAGAGCCTGTGAGGTATGTGTTCTCCGTAATTACCTGTGTGTTCAGGAAACAATACTTTGTCCCTCAAGTTCTCACTGCAAAAATTTAGTGTAAATAGTGAATCCATCATACAGTGGACATGTCTTCTTTTAGCTATTTTATGTCCATGAGACAAAGAAACCCCCCTGAGGAAAACCCAGTAAGAAGTAACTGTTGCAGAATGATCAGCCAGTGACAAGCACATTAGAGGGTTGAGAAGCCCACAGACTGCCCTGGTACAAGAGAACTGGAACGCCAAGAAAATAAGCTGCCATGACCTCAAGATTTGAAAAGGGCAAGACAGAGCAAAGCCTAAATACTGTGGGGAGCCCTGTGGCCTTGCTACTGGGGCCTGACAGTGCCGTTCTGAGTGCTGGTAACAGGAAAACAGGGAAAGTAAGTGGGACTGCCGCTGACTTGAAGATAATCAATAGTTTTTCTACAATGATTAAACTCAACCAAGGAAAGCATGATTCTACTTCAACTCATCTGTCTGATGCCATGATGATCAGCAAGTTTGTTTCACTACCCAAATGCATTACTAAGTTCTTGTATGTGGATTTTGCCAACATATTCGCCTAGAAAACACAACTGCAATGTTGAAATAATGGAGGTGTGGTGCTGATTGGTGGCCGGCCGAGAGGCTATGGTAGTCCATATTCCTGCACTTAAGCTTTCAGGGTTACCAAGGTGCAGGATGCATTCCCTTTGTTCCTGACCACAGACCTACTGGCAAGACCCTGCTCTTGGAGTGATCACTTCTGTGAGATAGAGGGCTTGGTGCAAGGCAACCACACAATAAAGAAATGTGTCAGAGGAGGAAAAGGACTTTGACATCAGATACTCGGCTATCACTGACTCACGAGTCAGTTCCTTAAGTCAATCTCCAAGGCAGGGGCATCCATCACACCCCTTCCTCTCTGGGAGTTCTGAGATGGACCTACACATGGACTAGCCTTCTCTGAAAGGGCAGACTCTTCCCAAGGCATCACAGGGCTGGCATGCAGGAAGGACACACACAATCATTTTCCAAGCCCTAAAACCATCTTTAACACCATAAAAGAGGTGGCCTGAATGGCTCAGAGGAGACAGAAAGCTTCATAGGGAAACAGATGGGAGCTTCTTCAAAGGCAAACCAAAATGTGCTTTAAAAAAAAAAACATAAATAAAGCAATAAATAAACCTAATTATTCCAAATTCAGAAGAATGACAGACAACACGGAGTAAGAAACGAAGAGGCGCAGATGACTGCAGAGGTCCATGCCTCATCCTCTGCCCTCTCCACCTGAAGCCCGAGCACCCAGTGCTCTGTGACCACCCACTGCAACACAGCTACATAGTGTGGCTCCAGAGCCTCAGGGTGAACAGAGTGTGAGGGGCTGTCCCTCAGGCTTTGGTCAGGTAAGAAGCACACACAGTCAGCAGCAACATCAACATTCCATGATTACTTTCCCCAAGGACTGGGAACGCCCAACGTTTACATCCTCAATGTAAAAAACACGAACCCAGAATCACTGCACAGCTGACTGGGTTTCACTGTATTTGGTTCCAAAGCAAATGTTCTATGTAATACCCCTGGCCTAAAAGGGGGTAGGAGGCGCACCTGGGGATGACGAATGGTACTGACTTCCAAATGGGCAGCTTCTGAGATAATTCAGTGGCTACCTCTACCCTTTCTTCATCAACTCCCAGCACCCTTAGTAAGGGAGACAGCTCTGGAGACAGGAAGTAATGGAGGCCACTTTTGTCCCAGTAGATCTTAGGACACTGATCACAGCTTGCCATTGCTTGGAAGTTCTTGCTACATGGCAGAAACAGAGACTTGATACAGAGAAAGGAGGAAGGTCTACTCATCAGGGATAATAATATCCATCCAAGGCAGTGAGGGCTCCCAGCCTGAGCTAGAGACAGAATACCCAGCAGGCAGGAATATGGCAGTGCTGAGAGGCTGGATGGAGCATTCTCCATCCAAAGTATTGGGCTCTTTCACAGACAATGTGCTTTTCCCTCTTCTGGCACCTGGAAATGGAAGAGGGTAGGCGCTGCTAAGAGCATCAGCATTACAGGCTCGGGAGAAGAGTGAGCGGCAACCCGAATGACAAGCTCTACCAGCATGAATCAATAAAAGACATCCTCTACTTCATTTTAGGCTTTTGCCTCATAGCGGCCTTCTGAGAGGGTTTTTGCTGGAGTCTGAAACAACAAGAGTGTGAGTCAGGGACCACAGGACAGGAGCACTACACCACCACCTGCAGAAGCCAAGAAAGGGGAAAAGCTACATGGGGTCAATAGTCAGGCATGCCAGGCAGGGCACGAGGCTTAGGGGCCTCACACAGAACTTTAGGCCCTTGCTCACAGACAAGAGGCACCAGCTGGCAGCCCGCTTTAGCCAGCAAACACGGCCTGCCCCAGCCTAGCATCCTTCAGCTAGTGTAGTAGATGTGGAAGTACAGAGTCTTGTTGCGGAGCAGGGAGTACGAGTTGTCGAACTTGAGCAAGTAGATGCCCTCCCCAGGGTAGTCATGGCTGCCAGCTTGCACATCTCGGTGGCTGTCCCTCCGGTACACAGGCATGACCTCCCCATAGCGACCCCGTAGAGAACTTCTGGAGCCTCTCTCCACATCCCCCACAGGGACAGGTTCTGCAGGAGGGAAAGGGCAGAGTTTAGATAGGATTTTGTAGCCTGAATACATCCTGCCTGAATGTGAGAGTGTGCTCCTCAAATGGGGATTCTATTGTCCTCCCTGAGGCACTACGAAAAGTCCATGCATCCTCCTGGGCATCAACATGACAGGAGAATGAAATCGGCATCAGCAGCCCAGAATGGAAGAGTCAGTAAGCAGCAGTGCTTCCTCTGAGAAGCCATGATCCGACTTGATAACCTTAGACGTACCTGGTTTCCAAAGGGGAAAAATACTTAGAGAGCAAAACCTGGAAATCTTTACAGTACATGAAAGGAACAACTAACAAAAATAGAAAACATAGATAAACACACTGTACGGGGTGACTCTAAAGCTTCCCCTTGGCATCCTGAGCAATAGCAAATAAGATAAACGGTCCCCCCACTTCCCTAAATACACATAGATTTCCTGGTTGACATGAAAAAGCAAGTGAAAAGAATGATTTGTGTCATACATAAAGCCATGGGATATTACATGCTTAGAACTAGATTCTTCTCTATGTGTCCCATCATAAGTAGAAACAACAGATAATAAGAGCAGAGCAGGGAGGGGTTGGAGCAATGGCTCAGTGGTTAAGAGCACTGGCTGCTCTCCCAGAGGATCCAGGTTTGATTCCCAGCACCCACATCTTGGTTCACAAACATCTGTAACTCCAGTTCCAGGAAATCCGACTACCCTCTTCTGGCCTTTACGGGCCTGAGGCACATACATGGTTCACAGACATACAAGCAGGCAAAACATGCACATAAAATATGATAATAAAAAATTTAAATCCAGGCATTGGTGGTGCACACCTTTAATCCCAGCATTTGGGAGGCAGAGGCAGGTGGATCTCTGTGAGTTCGAGACCAGCCTGGTCTACAAGAGCTAGTTCCAGGACAGCCTCTAAAACCACAGAGAAACCCTGTCTCGAAAAACCAAAAGAAAAAACAAAACCAAAAATTTTTAGAAAGAATGGAACAGAGAACACTACTTATAACATGAAGCAAAGAATTTATATTCTGCCAGCAATGGCAGTATGGAAGAAAGAGAGGCTGGGTACCTGTAGCTTATTATACCCACTGAGGGTGGCTCCAAATCAAGAATAAATATTCCAACACAAAGAGAGCAAAAACATAATCTCAGGTTCCAACATGACCTGAAAAATGCTGCTGCCCATACACACACGGAGCACGGGGAAATAACTGTACTTGTTAAAAGGGAGAAAGAAGGAGGGAAGGGAGGGGGTGCTTCCCATCAGAGCATCAGTAGCAACCCCATCAGCTTGCAATGCTGGGTTTCTGATGGGGAGGAGAAATGCTACAATCCACAAAGCAGCCACTAGCAATTAGTTTGAGTAAATGGAATTAAAATTAAATTTACCTTCTAGCTCCTCCTCCTCTTCCTCTTCATCATCCTCATCCTCGCTAGAATCACTGACCTGCACGGTTATATCAGTGCTGGTCACTGGGGTCCAGTCAAAATAAACTCCAAAACCAATATCATAGTCATCCGTTGCGAATTCCCAGCAGACGCGCTTTCCCTCAGGATGGGTGGGGACCCGGATAGTGACTACTTCACCCCGCTTCACCACCAGGCGGCTGTTCTTCTCTTTGCCCAGCTTGCTTTTGAATTCCTTCACTTTGGCAAAGGTCCAGATGCATGGAGGAGCCATCAGAGGCGGAGAGACTGAAAGGACAGATAGCTTACTACTGAGAAGCGGGGAAACGCTCCTGGGCCTGGTGCTTTGCTAGGAAAGTTAACATACACAATTCTTTCTAACGGCTTCGTCACTTCCTTTCACAACTTTGTCTGTCCTTCCGTCTGTCTTCAGCATCTACTTCAGCTGTCCTTCAAGCATCTACTGGAAATGAACAAGCTCTCTTCTATGTTTGCAAAGGTCTCACCTTTCCTGTGGTCCCCGAGAAGATCTGCAGATTCCAAATCCGCTGACAGGACATCTATAGCTCCAGTGTGCTCAGACTGGATCATAACCATGTCTCCCGGCCGTTGTGGAGCTTGGTACTTGGCCATCTGCACAACAGAATTCTGGTTATAGGACTCAATTCTGATCAGCCTCTTTCCAAATGCAAGGGTACCCCGCTCTTCCCTCATACCAAAAGTTAATGTGCTAACCAACAGTCCTTATACCTTCATTGCCTGCCTCTTCCCCAGCTGGTAGGCAACTCAACAAGGAATCTGTCCCTACTTGCTGACTCACATTAATGAGTCAGCAGGCCAGTTAAGAGGTTGGAATTGTACTTGTACAAGTAAATCAAGTCTGTAACCCTCCCAGGCTGTGTTCTTACAAGACCTGTTTCGAGGCCAAGCCCTCCCATTCTTATCCACACAGCTAAGAAAATCAAACCAGACCTTGGTTATCATGTTTACAGGATATCCTTCCTTTTACGTTGTGGATTTAATTTGCAACTTATTTAGCGGCACAGTCTTAGTAAAGCTTTTAGCCTTAGTTTCCACAGCTGCTAAATGGGGACAGAGTGGTATTTATCTCACTTGAGTGTGAGCAACAGCAAATGAAGTTTGTAGATAAAAATTTGTATAAACGACCAAGCATTATGCAACAGGTAAAATGCTTACTGTCTTTATTGACACCGATTCTAATTATTACATCATCACCAATGAAAATAGTAACACAAACCATCCCAACCTGCCCTGCCTCTGTGTCAAAGGAATATTACTGGATACTAACACCACTCCTATAGGCTCTTTACATAAATGCAGAATACACCTTCATAAGAACAGTCCAGCTAGAACAGTCAACGACTCAGGCTGCTCTCATCAAAAGTTTAGAGAACATGGAACACCCATTTGAGCACCTCATTTTTTGCATGCTAACACAATGACAGGCTGTGTGAGAGAGACGGATGATTAATTCTCCAAACAATTCAAACTGAGATGCCTCACAGGGGTGTCTAACTCATGTCCCCTGGAATGCATGAAGCCCAAAGTAACTTAAAACATTGAGGTTTCAATAAAAAAAAAAAAAATCTCTGTAACTCAATAATGCAGTTCTCAAATGTGAACTTTATAGATGACATGCCTGCTTGGAGTGACAGAGAATTCTGAGAGCTACCAATGCAGCACTGCTATTTCCAACCCATCCGCGATGTGCCTAAGTTGGGTACCAGAAGCTCCTGTTTTCCTAAGAGAGCCTGAATACTCCCCTACCTCACTGTGCACCTGAGCCTGGCGTGCTGGCAGCAACTCCTGCTCGCCGGGAGCCTGGCCCTCTGATGCACCAGCTGCTTTCTGTAGATCTTCCGTGGTATCCTTACTCACTGGAGATACCATCTGTGGCCTCTCGGAAAAAAAAAATAAATAAATATATATATATATATATATATATATATATATATATATATATATATATATATGTGTGTGTGTGTGTGTGTCAGTTCAAGGAGTCTGAAGAAGCAGAATCATTCCAGAGTAACTGAAATAAAACAATATTCAAAAGACACCCCACTCCCCCTGATTTCTGTATTTAGGTCCATGTCACTTCAGCTGACCACTGCCCAGAGCTGACTGGCTCACAGTAAGGGCACAGGAACAAACAAAGCTCACAGCCCAGCAACAGACAAAGCCAGACCCCAGGCTCATGAGCCACAGGAAACACAGCTCAGCCATCAGATGGACTCAGGGTCTGGTCTTCTTTGTTGCTATGTTTTACTTATTTAATTGACAAATCTAAAATGTGCATGTCTGTGGTCTACAGTCTGATGCTGTGATAGATGTAGACACTGTGAAATGAACAGAAGACGCACAGTGAGGTAGGGAAGCAGAAATTAAAGCAACTGCAGGACGCCTGTCTTGTTACAACAGTACTGGGAACCAAACTCCAGTCTCCATGACTGTACACAAGCACGTTTAACCACTGAGCCATCTCTGCAGCCTGGCTGCTCTCTTTCACTTTATTCTCTCTCACTATTTGTTCCAACCAGAATTTCAATAAACGGTTTGGACCCCCAGCTGGTTCTACACAAGTCACACATTGATAAGGTTGCCTAAGCCAGAGACTGGCCACTGAACAGAAAGTGTCTGCTGATTAATCACAAGGATATACAGGTAATTAACAGCGCTGGGAAAGGGTGAGACTTTTTCTCCAGTGATGCAGCCATCCATAAATTGCCCATGCTCCATGTTCCAATTTAACTAGATGGCTCACCAAGCTACACTTGGATAGAACTGAGTGTGTCCTTGGTGTCCTACCTGGGGTGAGTAGCTGAGTTTGCTCATGTCTCCCTAGGAAAAGTTCATGGAACAGGGGATGAGTTACACTGCCTCCCACATCCCCTGGCTTCAGAGAGACTAGAAAATGAGCAAAGAGCCAGGGCAGAAGCACAATCTTCCAGACCTTCTGAGAATCTACTGCCAATAAAAGGTGATGTGAGTTTTATTATTATTATTTGGATTTTCAAGACAAGGGTTTCTCTGTATTGCTTGGAGCCTGTCCTGGAACTAGCTCTGTAGAGCAGGCTGGCCTCAAACTCACAGAGATCCACCTGCCTCTGCCTCCAGAGTGCTGGGATTAAAGGTGTGCGCCACAAACACCCCATGTGAGTTTTATTTTTAAAGCAGGAGTTATAAGCATACGGTCTGGGGACCCCTGTAGGACTTAGGACACTTCAGGGGTGTCCGACACTGTAAAATCTTTTCAGACTACTACTAAATTAACATTTTCTTTTCTGCATTTTCTGAAGTAGGCAGTGGAATTTCCCAGAGGCTCAATGACATGTGACAATATTGTAGAGTGAATCAAGAAGCAGAGGTAGAAATTTAGTTGTCTTTTATTAAACCAGACATTAAAGGGATTTATTCTCTTACTGTGTTATCTTTGCTTTAGAAGTTTATTGTTTTTCCATTAAAGACATTATTTATAGTAATATGCAGTAAGTTGATTGTTGTTTTCAAATGAGTAAAATAACTACATTATAATTTTAAGCCTTAAGTTTTAATATGATTTATGATTTTAAAACTTTGGATACTTTGTGTTAATACTCTCTCAGCTTAGATACAAGGGGGAAGGCCTAGGTCCTGCCCCAATGATGTGACAGACTTTGATGATCCCCCATGGGATGCCTCACCCTCCCTGAGGAGTAGATGGGGGATGGGATGGGGGGGCTAGAAGGACAGGAGGGAGAGAAAACTGGGATTGGTATGTATACTAAGATTGTTTTTAATTTAAATAAAAATCAATTTTAAAAAAAAATTTTAAAAAAATGGAGTCTTTTAGGACAATGTTTTATGCTGTAGCCCACACTGACCTTAAACCTGTAGCGTTCCTACTGCCTCAGCCTCCTGAATGCTGGGGTAGCAGGTGTGAGCCACCACACTCAGCTCTAATGTAGTGAACAAAAAATTCTTTGGGGGCTTCACTAATTATTGAAAGCATAAACATCTGAAAGCCCCTGCTTTTAGGTTATCTGTACTATTGTTTTCCTTGGCAGCATAAAATAAGAAAATTCATTTTTAATTTATAGATTATCTCTTCTTCAAATAGAGATAACCATCTTTTAGAATACCTAAGTCATGCCAGACCACCTCTGAGAATGGCAATGAGTCCATTGCCATCAGGTTTGCAGAAATCATCCAGTGTACATGGTTACAAAGCCAGAAACTTCAGTCCCCTTTGGTTTCTTGCTGTCCCTTCACTAGGTAGGAGGCAAGCTGTATGCTGGGAACTGGGTCTTACTCCCTCAGTGTGCCTGGCACCTTAAACCAACCCTGAATATGGAAAACTCTGACCTTATCTCCTGGATTTCCACTTAACCTCAAGCGCCACTCCTGTTTGAGAGCTTTGTGCTCACTGTAGCCTCTGCCTGTATTAATAATAATAAGAGTTTTCACAGATGAAGGCCACTTATGAAACATGTTATACACTTGTTTCCTGCCTGCCATCATCACCAGGGTATAAGACCCGTTACAACAGTACCCTGGACTACTGTGTTATTCTTCAGCATTTTTGGTACCTAGAAGTATCCCAGGTATAACAGATGTTCAACAATGTCTATTAGATGAATAAATACTATGCCATGTTACTTGTTGAACTATTAAAAGACATACTAGTTCCTATTTGAAAACAACAGTCATTTAGATCACACTATCACTTGTAATATTGGGAAAGCTGAGACTATCAGAGGTCATCAGAATTACTAACCCAATGTTACTATATGTGACATCTAAAATCAGCAAGCCTCTTCTCTGCCTTGTGTATGCTACTTGGAACAGATACAGTTTTGCATGTAAAATATTTTAAACTTTTGTTTTATGTATGTCTGCGTTTACTTATATGTGTCTATGTAAGAACACATGCATGTGCTTTGCAGATGGACATACTTGTGTGTGTGTGCAAAGGCCAGAGAGTGTCAGATGGCCTCCCCCATCACACTCTCTATTCCTTTGAAGCGGAGTCTCTCCCTGAAGCTGGGACTCACACTTCAACTAGGCAGGAAGCCAGTGTTACAGGTATTTGCAGAAATGCCCGGGCTGTTACATGAGTACTGGGATCTAAACTGTGGTCCTCTTGATTATAGAGCAAGCAAGTGCTCTGAACCACTGAGTCATCTTTCTATACCAATGAGAAAATATTTTAAATGAGGCTTGTAATAACCACATGAATTTAATTATCCATATCAGCATATCATGCTCTACAGAATTAGCAAAAGGTATTTTTGGAAAGAGAAGTGGCCAATCAGTTGATGCCAGTGGTAGGCCATGTCAAAATAAACAAACAAAAAAACCTTGTAAGTCAATTAAGAATTCTGGCTCACACTGCCCCAGAGCAGGGACACTAGTCTGAAGGATGGGAAAACCAGGCCAAACAGCCAGCCAGCCTCACTTTCTAGTGGAAAGCTGTGTTGTTCAGTTTCCAACAGACACAAAGCTAATGCTAGGCTTCTGGGATCATGTGCACTGGAGAGTCTTTACTCACTAAATTCATAAACACAACTTTGAAATTAAATCATTTTGTCTAAGAAAGTTCTGTGCTATATAGATCCATCCTTTAAAGACAGAGACGGCGACAGAAAGATGAAAAGTCCCTCACCTTAGGGAACGTCAAGAGCATGAATTATTGTCATGAAAACCTTGCGGTGGCTCAGAGGTTAAGAGCACTGGCTGCTCTCACAGAAGACCCAGGCTTGAGCCCCAGAACTCACATGGTGGTTCACACCTGTCTGTAACTCCAGTCCCAGGGGCTCCAGTCCCCCTTCTTGCCTTTGTGGGCATCAGGCATGCTTATTGTGCACAGACATACATGCAGGCAAACATTCATATACATAAAAGGGGAAAACCTTAAGGAAGACTTCTATATATAACATAGCCTACACGCAGAACTCAACCCCTCTATTATCAGTTATGATAACAAGCTACAGCCATGGGGACCTGCATAGACTTTACTATTTCACTTTTTGTTGTTTTGGGGGATTTTTGTTTCTTTTTTGTTTTTTTGAGACAGGGTTTCTCTGTAGCTTTGGAGCCTGTCCTGGAATTAGCTCTGTAGACCAGGCTGGCCTCGAATTCACAGAGATCCTCCTGCCTCTCCCTCCCGAGTGCTGGGATTAAAGGCCACCACCACCGCCCCGGCTCTATTTCACTTTTACCAGCAGGGAAGGGTACTTATTTCATTAGGGTTATCAGGATACACTTTACACCACAGTATTTAGCAAACAGAACTATTTAATAAAACATTTTGTCTATCATTGAGAAACAGTCAAATAAAGCATGGTTATTTATTATATTACCAACTACATTATAAATTATTTCATATGCAAAAGAAGAAAGAACTGAATACAGCTCAACAAGTATGAGATGTTAAAAAAAACAAAAACCTTTTTTATTCCCAGCCATGTTTTGCATGAGGCATGGAGACCACAGGTTCTACCAGACAGTGCAGTATAGTAACTGTGTAACTAGAGTATGATATTGAAGGCAGACTTATGTGTTCTATTAGTGATTCATGCCTTCCTTTCACACTAAGACTCAGTATAATCCTTCCTTTCTGCTATACATGCATATACATACATACATACATACATACATACATACACACACACAGGTACATCAGTGATAGTTATGAAATAGAGAAGAAAATTCAGAATGACAGCCTAGGGGCTGAAGAGATGGTCCAGCCGTTAAGAGCATTTGTAATTCTTTCGTAGGAACTCAGTCTGGGCACCAGTACCCAGGTCAGGTAGCTCACAACTACCTACAACTCTAGCTCCAGGGGATGTGAGTCCCTCTTCCAACCCCTATGGCCACTGAACATGCACATGTTACACATACACACATGAAGGCACTCACACATACACATAAAAAAGTAGATAATATAGAAAAAAGCAGGACAACCCAAAGGCAATTATCATGGTTTAATCTGAAAAAAAAAAATCACATAAAAACTGCAATTTGTTTTACCCCCTTAAAGTCACTGCCTATTTTGCTCACTGGTTCCTTTATTCCCAGGAGACAAAACTGGAACCAGAGGCATTTATCCAAAGCAGTTGTTTGTCCCTACCTGTAGGGTGAGGGCTGGGGCTCTGGATCAGAGGCGGAAGCCAGTGGAGAGCTGGCCTTGGTGTTTTCCAGATCTTCTTTCTCTGGAAAATCATGGAAAGAGTGTTATTTGAGAGGAAACACTAACCATGTCCTGCAGACCTGTTGTTTTTCATGCTGACTGGCAATCTCATCTGTGGAAAGACTGTAGGGCTTGTGTCACCCAGCCTTCCTCCCAAGAAAGGGACTGATGATGTAAGACCTCTCCTGCTGCTCCCATTTGCAGCGCTGTGCAGAGGCCCCTCCACTGAGACATAGCATGCTTAGGCAGTTCTCCCCTGGGGTGACTTAGAGGCTGCTTCCTAATGAGTCCTGCTTTTGTCACAGTATCTCCACTGTCCCTCAGTCCTTCCCCCAGCTACCACCTCTACCTCAGGTGGCCTCTGACCATGTGGGTCTGGTTTCCCACTGTTTCACTCAAAGGAAGGAGCTATTATTTGTAATAGCCAGAACCTGGAAGCAACCTAAATGCCCCTCAACTGAAGAATGGATGGAGAAAATGTGGTACATTTACACAATGGAGTACTACTCAGTTGTGGGGGGGGGGAACAAAAACAACAATGGAATCTTGAAATTAGCAGGCAAACGGATTGAACTAGAAGAAACCATCCTGAGTGAGGTAACCCAGTCACAAAAAGGCAAACACAGTATATACTCACTAATATATGGATTTTAGACATAGAGCAAAGGATTACCAGCCTACAATCCACACTGCCAGAAAAGCTAAAAAACAAGGAAGACCCTAAGAGAGACATACATGGTTCCCCGGAGAAGGGGAAAGGGACAAGATCTCCCTAGCAAATTGGGAGCATGGGGGGAGGAGAGAGGGAGTTAGGAGAAAGAGAAGGGGAGAAGAGGAGAAGAGAGGAGGACTTAAGGGAGCAGGAAGACTGAGTCAGGGGAAGAATAGAGGAGAGCAAGAAAAGAGACACCATAATAGAAGGAGCCATTATAGATTTAGAGAAATCTGGCACTAGGGAGATGCCCAGAGATCTACAAGTATGACCCCAATTAACAATCTATGCAACAGTGGAGAGACTACCTTAAATCCCCTTCCCCTATAATAAGATTGATGACTACCTTATATGCCATCCTAGAGCCTTCATCCAGTAGCTGATAGAAGCAGAAGCAGACACCCACACCTAAACACTTAGTCTGACTCCTGGAATCCAGTTACAGAGAGGGAGGAGTGATGAGCAAAGGGGTCAGGACCAGGCTGGAGAATCCCACAGAAACAGCTGATCTGAATAAAGGGAAGCTCACGGACCCCAGTCTATGGGGTCTCTGGTAGTGGATCAGTATTTATCCCTAGTATTCGAATGGACTTTGGGAGCCCATTCCACATAGAGGGATGCTCTCTCAGCCTAAACACATTGGGGAGGGCCTAGGCCCTGATCCAAATGACAGACTTTGAAGACTCCCCATGAAAGACCCCTCACCCTCCCTGGTGATGGGGGATTGGGAAGGAGACAGAGGAGGAGGGGAGGGTGAGGGAACTGGGATTGACATGTAGAGCTTATTTCAAATTTAAATAGACAAATATTATCAAAAATGGGGGGGGAAGGAGCTTAAACCCCCCCCCCCGTGTCTCCCAATCTTTGTGGAGGACACGAAAGGCACACTTCTGAGAATAACACTATCCAGACACTACATTTTCTTTAACTGCAAATTTACCCTGTTGGTCTAAATACATCAATCAGGTTTCCCCGACTTCTAAATACAAACTTTTTCTAAGCCTACTCTCTCCTATTCTCTATTTTTGAGACAGACTTTTGGAAAATAATAGAATTTTAAACTTAAATCCAGACTTTACACATCCATATTATTATTCTAAATTAACTTTTTAAAATTGCACTCTTAACTCTTTGTTTACTATAGAATAAATAAAGACTAAAAAATCCATGCACCTTTATACAGTTTTTCTTTAAAACTTTGTAATATACTTTAGAAAAGCTGAAACATACAGATAAGCAAAATAACCACTAAGCAACACAAATTAAGCATAAGTCTACGAAACCAAGACAACTACTGTTAACTATTTGATGCATATCATTTCAGAAATGTGTTCACACAAATAAGCAATTCTTTCTCTCTCCACATATATATATATATATGTGTGTATATATATATATATATATATATATATATATCCATTATGTATCTAAAAGGCATGCATCAAATGTTAATGAACATTGTTCATAAACTTGTTTTGCAGTTGATTTTAAAAAAAAATAAAAGGATATAGCACTCAGACTCAGGCAGATCTCTTGTGAGTTCAAGGACAGCCTGATCTACTAAGCCAAGTTCCAGGACAGCCAGAGCTGTTACACAGAGAAACCCTGTTTCGCAAAACCAAAAGGAACAAAAAAAAGGGGGGGGGAGGGGAATATATCATTGTTTTAAATGGATGTATCTTTTATCAAGTGGCTTTGGCAAGTATTCATGACCAGTGTCTGAAAGTGTCCAATTCCATTAGAAGCAGAAAATGCTTTTTCCAATTCAACACTTTGTATGTGTATGCAATGGGAATTCTTCTACCAGAAAAAGATTTCTCTCCCCCCCCCCATGCATACATAGCTACCTTAGGAGCCTCGTAAAAAGAAGGCAGAGCTAGGTGTGCTGACATATCCAGTAGGCTAAGGTTGCTGAACTGAAGGCCAGCCTGGGCTACACAGAGAGACCCTGTCTCAGAAACAAAGGTAAAAATAACCAAAGGGAGAGAGAAAGGGCAAAAATCAAAAGCAGGACAAGGGTTACTTCTATTCCAATTGGCAAAACAATTAGAAACATAGGTGAACAATGATTATTAAGTATGGTTAAGGAACATATTTTAACGTATTTCTGTTTCACATTTCCTACCCTTGTCCTGATAGCTCCTTAGAGTTGGGTCCTGTGTCCCCTTCAGTAGGACCCAGAGATTGTGCTTACCACTTAAGTTCTGGGCTCATGGCATCAATGCCCTGCTCAGACCCAGAGCCGGCCACTACTCTAAGGAGCGCGCTCTAAGGAGCGCCAGTTCTTCTCCATGGGATGCTCAGGGGTGGGAGAACTGCATCCACACAGGAGTATACTGCCATCGAAGAATGAATTCGGTCCCCTTCCCCAACTGAGGTACCGTCTGTTCTTTTGCCCTTTAGCAAGAAGGCCCTTGCTGGATGTGACCTTGGATTTCCCAGCCTCTAGAACTACAAGGAATAGAGCTTTGTTTGCTATAAAGTATCTAATCTCAGGACCAGGAAAGCAGAATGTTTGCTGAGCATGAATGAGGCCCCAGATTCAGCCCTAGCATGCAGGGGCAGGGGCAGGGGCAGGTGGGGAGGCGCGCGCGTGCATGCGTGTGTGCATGTGTGCGTGTGCGTGTGTAAAGGATACAGCTCACTGGTCCATTCATTGCCTCATAAACTTGAACTAGATTAAATTTTGAATGAGGAAAAAAAAGAGTATAAATTTTTCAGTCGTATTACAGCAGCAAAAACTGAATAAGATATACATGAAGACATACACATCATGCTGTTTATAAGAGCTGCACCTCAGATGTATGGACTACATAGGCTGAAGGTAAAAGGGTGAGAAATGGTAATTGAAAGAACACAGATATCTAACTATACTTGTATCAGACAAAATAGGTTCAAGCTGGACATGGTGATGCACTCCTGTAATCCCAAATTTGGGAGCTGAGAACTATTGTAAATTCAACAACAGCTTGGGTCACAACAGCAAGAGCCTGTCTCAAAAAGACCCTCTTTGCCCCTGCATACAGAGCCAAGGTACTGCCTGCCAATACCTGCAGGGGTGGGCACTCTGCCAGGTGCCCAATGGGCGGGGCCAGCTGTGCCTGGATTACAACACCTACAAAACTAAAAATCAGCCAAATAGACACGCATGAAATGGTTGGCTATAGGCATGCATGCCATACTGTCATCCCTAATGATGGGCATCAGTGTTTTTTCTAGCTTTTCATTCTATTAGCATTACAAATTGTGTTATGATGTGTGTATGTCACATATTTGGCAGGGACTGCCCATTATCTTGATTTTATAGCAGCAATAAGTGATAGCCTGTTTTTCCACAATTCAACATCAAGAGTGAAATTTGTGGGCCACTGAGGAAACTGACAAAATTCAACATGTGACAAGTGTCCCCAATTTTCCTTTCTCTGAGGCAGGTTCTCACTATGTTGCCCAGGCTAGTCTCGAACTTCTGGGCTCAAGTATTCATTTGACCTGAATTGCTGGGACTGCCTAGGTTTACCATCATACCCTACTTGATATCTGTGATAGTTAATGCCAACTTTATAAGTTGACATATTTAGATCAGATAGAAGTGAGCTAGAACCACTTGGGACACAAGATTTTGTGCATGCCAATGAGGAATTACATAGGTTAGGTTATCTGGGCTTGCCTGGGAAAGACTATCCTGTGTTAACTGGAGTGAGAAGACCTACTCTAAATACTGGCAGCACCATCCCCTGGGCTTGAGTCACAGACTGCATAAAAAAGAGGATGCTAGCTGAGCACTCATCATCCTATTTCCTGACTCTGGATGCAGCTTGACCACTTGGCTGGCCCCTCAAGCCCCTGCCACCGTAACTTCCTCCCCATAGTGATTTGAATGAGAATGGCCCCATGCATGAACATAATCTATACCAATCTGCTAGGCAGATCATGACAACACACTACTGTTTTAACTTAAAATCTGTAGATAATTTACCATCAAAACAAACCCTTAGCAGAGTGGTGGTGGTACATACCTTTAATTCCAGCACTCAAGAGGCAGAAGCAGGTGGATAGAGGTCAGACTGGTCTATAAGTGAGTTACAGGACAGCCAGGGATACACGGAGAAACCCTGTCTCAAAAAACAAAAAACAAACAAGCAAACAAAACACTGTGGTAGTCTGAATGTAACTGGCTCCTATAAGTTCATAGGGAGCAGCACTATTAGGAAATTTGGCCTTGTTGAATTAGGTGTGGCCTTGTTGGAAGAAGTGTATCACTATGAGGGCAGGCTTTGAGGTCTCCTATGCTCAAGCTACACCTAATTCAG